AGCATCTCGTTCGGGCTGTCCGTCAGTCCTAACGTGCCAATCGTCATGGTGACTGACAGCTTGAATACCTGGCGTAGTTTCACTGTCTCTTCTCAGGCGATCGTGGATGGCTCTGGGGTTCTCTATGATCCAGCTGGCCTCAACCGGACCGAGCTGCGTCGACTTGCAAAACAGCGGCTGCCGGTGAAACACTTCAACCGCTCCTTGCTGGGGCGCCTCGGCAGCCAGCATTCTTATCCCTTTGGACCCGAGGGGTTGGGGGATGTTGGGGCGCTGGGCTGTGGCTGGCTCAGAATCCGAAGGTGTTGGGCTCGATTCTCGAAGGTGCACGGGAGGAAGGGAGAACCCAAAAAACAGGGCCGGGGCTTGGTGAGGCCTTGAGCCCTGGAAGGCATTGGGGCTGAGGTGACTTTGTAAGCCCTGGGACATCTAGTCTGCAGAAACTCGCAAAGGACCCCGACATCGCGGGCAATCGTTACTAGTATGAATTTGCCTGTTTAAACAGGTTGCGACTGTGGATTGGCCCGCGGTTGCAGGTTGGGAAAATTGGCCCCATGTAGATTTGGCGGGACTGCAGATTGTGATTGGCCTGCTGTTGTTGGGAAGGGCAACATGCCCCAACCAACGAGCTGGAAGATCAAATAATATCGGATCACGAACGCCGGCAAACACATGCGGAGCGAAACGAACGAACGTGCCAACCGTGAAACCAATATTCACCGGTCACGTTCCTTGGATCCTTCTATTGCGGCGTCTAAATTAAGGAGGTCAATTGGCTAGCAAAGGAGAAAATTTAAAAGCACCAAGCAAAAATGTCCGTTAAACTTGCTACGCTATTCCAGAAGTAGAGTTGCCTCCGCGACGCAGCGAAGGACAGGTGCTTTCCTCGTTGCTGTGGAGGAGACTGATGTTATTCTTCCCGATGGAACGAAGTACTTGACTGGGGCAGAGTGCTCCACTGAGTTGTGCAACTGTTTGATCGCCTTGAACATCTTCCTGCGCCTGCATCATGCCTCGGATCTTATGTGAGACCATCCAAGGCTGCGAGACTCCTTTCATCTAACATCTTACGCAACAGCAGATCTTTTTGTGCCCTGTGGCGGCCGTCCGAACTCCATCACGACTGACAACGTGAAGCGGCTGTTTGCAGCAGATGGCTTGAAGCCCAAGTTTCGACTGATCGTGGCTCGGCAAAGGAAGATTTTCTCGGGCTCCGCATCGTTTTTTTTCGAACATTGCAAAGTCATGTCTGCTTGTTTCCGTTGTTCAGCCCCGCCACCAGCAGTTGCCGGTTTCCAGGAGAGTTTGTAGGGATGAAGCATTGTCAGTCGGCCTGGCCAAGTACGATGGCACCATTTTGCGAGCTGATTGCGCAATCAGGGTTCGAAGTGCTTGTATGAGGTAATCTTGCTTCTGTGGGTGTCCCATGTGAAGAACGTTTAGACGATAGTCAAGCATCCAGAGCGTACTTGCTCTTGCAACTTTGTTTAGTCGTGTGTAGACATACTAAAGACTTACTTGATGGCTAGTGCCCGGCGGCGTGTATTTGCAATGCGTTTTGTGATGTTAAGTCATATCTTTCCCCCGAGCAGGTGGAGGGCGCGAATCTCTTCCTCTCAGATGGGGCGCGGGTCGCCTTGGAGAATGCGGGCGTCCATGTCTTCAAGGACGCCTCCACGAACAAGGTGGGGGCCCCGAGATGAAAGTAAGAGGAATCCCCACTCTTTCGGCCGGGAGCATGGTGTGTACTGCGAGCATGTCCTGACTGACACCTGCCAGGGCGGCGTGAACTCCTCGTCGCTGGAGGTCTTTGCAGCCCTAGCCCTGCCGCCGGAAGATCATTCAGCACTCATGTGCTATGACCCTCGCAAGGGATGCTTGGTTGCCTCAGCCATATTGTGCCAGACAGCCCTCTTCAGGGACAGGTGGCCAGGCACGGTCAGGAAGCGCCTTCAGAATGTGTCTGTGTCCATGTTGTGAGAATCCGGTATCATCTTTCAAGAAACTCGTCCACAACCTGATGTGGAGCATCCGGTCACACCGGCTCAGGACAGGCGCCGCAGTTCTACCAAGACTACGTGCCACTGGCAGATTTGGGGTTCTCGCATCGCTTCCCAGTTTCTTGCAAAAGCAGCTGCACCGACTGCTAAGGTGCAGCAGATCAAGGAGATAATCATAGAAAACGCCCAGCAGGAGTTCAAAGCGATCTGGCAGTGCAACACGAATGGGATCAAGAAGGCTCCGGGCTTTACATGAGATGTCTGGGCTTCTGGTGGCTTCTGGCAATCTTGCTAGTCCTCGGCAGGTCGACGCAACCAGGCTTATCTCCAGCACCACGGACGCGCTTGATTGCTGTTCGCTTTTGCCCAGACTTTCAAGCGTATTTTTCTTTTGTCATTTTGTTTTTTCATGCCTCCTCCTTCCCTGAGCTCCCTAGACTTCCCAAGGGCTCTCGCTTTGTTCAGTCCAGTCACTGCGCAGGCAAGATCACTAAGATGCAGGACACGCTGGTTGTTGCAGTGAGCAGAAGTGCTTATGCTGTTTGGTGTGACTCGGGCCTTTCGGGCCCTACTAACATGGCAAGTTCCAATTTCCGCAGTGCAGGACACCATCATGGAGAAATTCGAGGACATGCAAGCAGACACAGTTCAGTTCTCTAAGCCCTGGCCCTAAACCCCTTGTTGATTGCTGCTCACCGGCAGCCTGACCTTCGACTGGAACAGGACATGTCCATTGCAGAGAGGGAGCAGCTCGTCCGGCGCGTGCTGACAGTAGCTATCCCGCCATTGATGCTGCAGCCACCCAGCTGCAGATCTGAAGCGCTGCAAAGCGAAGTTGCAAAGCTCGGTCCTCTCAACTTGCCCCGCTCCCCTCGTCTCCTTCCCAACTCATCACTGCATGTATCGTACTTTCTGAGGCAAAGTGAGGTTTCCGGGCACGAGTGTTGAAATGAACCGTCCCGACGCCCTAAACCCATGTGCGACAGGGTATACAACCAGAGACCTCCTTCTACCAGCCGTGAGAGTGCAAGTGTCAGGAAGCTTGGCATCGAGGCGCGCCGACCTATCGGGCTCCCGACGTATGTGTGTGTTTGTGTCTTATTGGAGCCGTCAAGCCTCGACGAAAGGATCTTCACCATTCTAGGTTTGAGGTATGTAGAATGGAAAGGAGCCTACATTAGACTTTGGTCTCAGCGAAGTGTGTGCATGTGTATACATGTGCACAGTTTGTACGCAAGTAGACACGCTCATGCATTTCTTTGTATTTCGTATGCCTACATGTACTTGTATCACGTGAGTGTCCTGTAGCGCCCAAGCTGCTGCTTGCCCTGCAGGGAATCCTGGAGCGTGTCCCTGCGAATTACATTTCAGCTATCGTTGGCGCATGGGTTGCGTCGCGCTTTGTGTACAAGCTGCTGGGATGCAGTAGACGAACGTCGACGGAGCTTGTCAGGAGAATCACAAGTGCTCCCTTAAGGTATGGCATCAGTGCTACGGAGGCCATGGGTCTTGTGCTGTGGGCTCAAAGCCACATCCGCCAAGCAGACGTGTTTAGCTAGAGTAGCCGTTATCAAAGGCAGAAGGTTTCTTCCCCACTGCCGACAGTCGGTTCGCAGGTGTCCTTCTTCTTCTTCCTTCGTGGGCTTCTTTCCGGTGGCACAGATGACCTGGCGCATCAACCCCTTGCAAAGCATCTTGGACTTGCCTGAGAAACCTGCTTGCAGTCTGGCCGATTTCTGCCCGTTGCCTGAGGTAAACACATTCTGCACGTTTGGTCAGACTGTGCCAATTCACCAATTCAACAATGCTGGGAAAGGACTGAAGGGACTTGACAGGGACCCTCCGCTGGCTTGACTCGGCTCGACTAATTACCTGTGGAACGACTGCTGTCAGACCAGCAGCTGTCGCTGGGCAGACTACTTGTAGGCTAAACTGGCTAAACCCTAAATCCTAAACCCTAAACCCTAGTATTTCGCGTGCAGGACGTGTGCAGAAACTTCGCGAACTTGCCACCTTTTGCCTGTCGCGAGTCTTATGCGACTCTGAAGCCTGGCACCAAACATGGGTTTTCTATGGTGTTCTTCATGCTTTGCTGCAATGTCACTACGTAGATATGTAGCTGAAAGGGGGTGTGGATTGCATTCTCAAGGGTTCCATCATGCTAGAACGTTTCGCTGAGGCATGAAGAGTCTTGATCCTGGCCTGCACCCTGTTGAGATTGTCTCTATCCCCCGGCTCGTTTGCATTGGCCTGGGATGATTGTATTGCCCGTGCTCTGCTAAGACACGCTTAGGGTTTTTAGGATCTATTTCCGCCATTGCGTCCGCTACCGCAGACAAGAAGCAATGTTGTAGCAGTTTGCAGAAACCCAAGCTGGAACAGAGCCTTGAAGATCTGCGCCTATGTACGTCTACGTTTTAAGTGCTGCAGCAATTGCGATGGTGAAGGAATGTCAAAGCAGAATGCATGAGGTGGTCATGGGGTAGATACGCCCGGGCAAGGTGAAACACGATCGTTGTAGGTTTGGGGCATAGTTATGCTCGTGAGGGTGGTCTTCTGTAGTTCTAGTGCAGCAGAGGCAGCAAGCTTTCAACATCAGAAGGCTTGAAGACCAGAATCCGCAATTAAGCAGTTTAAGCAATGACGCAAGTGCTTTTGGGTGCGGACGCAATGATTTCAAGGTACAGCAGTGAAAGCCCATTTGACGCATGCGGCTTTCACGGGTTCAATAGCTGAACTAGTTGGAGGGTGCTCCTCCAGTCTGCCGGAGTAGGGTTGTTGTCAATATGCAGGGGCCTCTTGTCTCCAGGCGTGAGATGTTGCGCATCAGTTGCGCGCCTCCGCACGGGTTCTGAGAATTTGTCCACCGGCACAAACACGTCGCGTTGTTGTGCAGCGTGCACCAGATTCTCTCGAAGCTGTTCCAGCTCTGGTTGTTGTCACCTTCAGCTTGCAGCCACAGTCTTGCAGTTGCAAATGCATGTGGCGTCGAAGCTCCAGGCGTATCTGCCAAATGTGGAAGCTGTCTATACATCTCCGGAGGCCATGGATGGAAGATGCCCCTACGCATTCGCGGCTGCCCTCATCTGCTTACCTGCTTACTTATGTCCCTTCTAGGTGAAGAACTGCTTTGCCCAGACGGAGAAGGTTCCTGATGTGCAGCACACGCCAAGGGCATGTGTTTCAACTCTCGATCACTCATGAGCTGCGAGGTAAACCTCAATCGCTACACGTTCCAGTCCTATGCCAATGGCAAGTCCGCCTTGCGGGTGGCTGCAAGCGAGGCCCATGGAGACATCACTCGAATCTGCGCATGTAGTCGTTCGATCCCTGCCAAACTGTTGCATTGTCCACTGGCCCACACCTGCAAGAGGCATACCCTGCTGGCCCACACCAGTGGAGAGATGCACAGAACCGGGAGCTGCAGTCCGTCCATATGGATCAGGCCCCTCATGCGGACGACCGGGGTGGAGTGGAAGTTCTGATAGTATCATAGCGGTATGTCGTGGTGGATGTGCCAAAATCAGAAGCAAGCTCTTTCTTTTTGGGATTCCGAGTAATGTTGGACCCTCTTTACTGTGTAGGGCCCCCCCCCCCCCCCCCTGAACAGTCGAGGCGTGGATGGGAGCCTGATTACACGGCCCCGGGGGCTTATATGATTTCAATAGGGAGGAGTTTAGATAGGTTTAAAAGGGGCAGCGATGCCCGGTTATCTTTTTTAAAGGCGCGCCACGTGGAATTTTCTTACGGCGCCCGGACGGTTTGACTTTAAAGAGGACCCCGCAAACAGTCAGGGGGTCCTGAATAATTCGGCCAAATTGACTTTAAAGAGGAGGCCCCTACTAAAGAGGGTCCAACATTAGTAAGCAGCACGAACGTTGCAGCTCATGGGAATGGCAGGGTTGATGGCCTCATACCCTGTCGCAGGAACCATTTGGACCGGCCCTCATGATTATCCACTACGAATCCTGCCCATTCTCGCGGTGGCAGGACAAGAGAGTGTAGCTGTGTAGCCATGTCGCTCAAAAGAAAAAAAGGTGTGCCCACCAGGCCAACCCACAGGACTCACACCTGCGCAGGACAAGTTCTGGGAACTTGGCAACACGTCCCCAGAAAAAATCAGCACCGCTCCCAGTTGTCGGCCTGCCACCTTTGACTTTTGCTGTCTCGAAACCGCAGGTTCGCAGAGCCACCATTAAATTAGGTATCCGGCTCTCCGTGGCTCCAAATGCTGCCACTCAGTTGTCGAGATGGCAGCTTTGCGACCGGACTAGGGCCGGACAACCACACTCCCTAGCAATTTACACCCTCCTAGCTCAAAGGAGGAGAGGCTCGATGAAGAGCTTCCCTGCCCGAATGACATCAACCATCATCAGCTCCTCTTAGGGCTCAAGGAGTTGGGGCCCAGCACAGGACGTGCACATCAGGCGAAGGATGCGTGTCGCGACTGGTGAGTGGCCAGTTTCAATTCACCACTGTTTACATCTAGGCCAGGGTTGCGTCCTGTACCTTACAAACGGAGCAGGTCAGGAGGCGCACACAGGCTTCTTTTGCTTGGGGATCGATGCTTGGATGTCAGATGTAGGTCTTGTTGAGTAGTTTCGTTGAGTAGTTTAGGCGCCTTACATGACAAGGCTCCTAGCTTTCGGGAGCCACTCGCCAGTCAGGCATGCCGTCGTCATATCTGCCAAATGTAGTACGTGGGTGTGAACTATGCATCAGTACATCGCTGCAGAATGCACAGCTGCACATGCCTCTGGTGGGCCGAAGTGAGCAAAACGAGGTCAGATTCCTTTCCAGTTCTATCGCGAGTCCATCAGCAGAATGCAAAGCTGCAGGAGTGGCCTACAAGTGTGCAATGGCAACCTACTAAGTAGTTACTTATTGTTCATATTTTAATATGATTAATATTACTATTAGTATTATATGAATATTTTGAATATTATGAATATTATGAATATTTTGAATGTTATTAATATTATTAATATAATTAATAGTATTAGTGCTATTAATATTGTTAATAAGATCAATAAGATTAATAATTAATAGTATTAGCAATATTAATATTTCCAATACTATTAAGATTGTTAGTATTGTTAATTTTGTTAATCTTCTTGATCTTAAGAATCTTATGAATCGAATTTTGCGAGTTGTCCAGTGCTTCGCATTCCCGCTCTGCGCCTCTGGGCCCTCAGTTGTGCAAGATGCTGAGATGCAGCAGCACTCCCTGCTTTCGACCAACATCAGGTTCTGGACCCCCTTAGTGGGCTCTGTCGTAGGGTTTCGGGTTTAGGGTTTAGGGTTTAGGGTTTAGGGTTTAGGGCTTAGGGTTTAGGGTTTAGGGTTTAGGGTCTACTTGGACCCGCTTTAGAAGAGCTGGGACGCCCAAGTACCAAAATGGAAGGCGGGACATCCAAGGCCTCAGGTTCATCCTGCAGAAACTTTAAACACGGGGGTTGGACTGGGGTTCGGAGGGGGAAATCTGCCGAACGCCTGGAGCTGATTGAGCTTGCGCAGACGAAAGATCACACACCCCTGGAAGGAGCAGTGAGCCACAGAAAGACCGACGGTTTCTGTCCCTCTTGGGCTGCGATGAGGCGACCTGCTCTTCAGCGTCTTGTTGACTGACGTGGCAAAGTCATCCGAAGTTTCTGTGCTCATGCATTGCTCAAAGGGCTCGCTGATGCAGCTATGGAGTCAATGGAAGACCATTGCAAACCCGTCTCTGAAGAGCGAGGACAGCGCTGTCACGAAGCCGGAAGCACGTGTACGGCTTAACACCTCACATCTCTTTGCTGCAGGACCTCATGCCGATCCACATACCTTGGCAAGAACTTCTGGATGACTGAGACTTGGGCCTGCGTGAGATTCCGAAGCTGCAAAGGGCGCTTCGAAAGGGTATGCTTGCATGTTTTGTTGTGTTTCTTTTGCCTACTGTGTGCTGCGTGCCTGCACTGCAACGTTTCTCAATGGTGCGCGCCACTGCCTGATGTTCAAGGAAGCTTGCCAGAGAGAACCTGCCAAACACCAGCTGTCCAGAGAATCAGACCCCATCGGAACCACTTAGCAGCTTTGGGCAGAGCTTGCAGTGCGATGGCCATGACCTCTACCGTGTATACAGGCCCCAGCGCTGGCTCCAGAAGCTTGCTTGGTGTCGCGGGCTCTCCGCACGCACAGATGCCGCAATCACCGATTGCTGCTGTTCCAGACATGTCGGGCGCACTTCCGAGCCCCACAGGCACCAGGGCCGTGGTAGATATTGCGCTTAATTACAAAAGTGGTTCATGGCCCTTGGCCATTACCTCTGTGAGTGACAAAGTGTTTGCGCGCAGCGGTAGTTTGCATGACTGGGCAAGTTAAGCATGAGAATCGCCTCCAGCAAACATGTCGTGCAGCAGGTTTCTCCAGACCACAGAGTCCTCCGCATCAGCAGCCTGTACAACTAGCAGCAGAGGCTGAGTCTGAGGAGGATGCAGAGCTCATAACGTTCTTTAAGGCTTTTCGGCTTTTTTTGGGCGGCTTGCTATCCGCTGCTATTCAAAGCCTTAGCTGCCTTGTGAAGATGGACCCTTTAATTTAAGCTGCGTGGGAGTGAGGAGTCTGGAGGTTCAAGCTCCCTGTGTCTGGAAACTTGACGGTCAAGCTCTAAAAAAGACTTGTCACTGACACTGACACTGACGCCGGTCGACTCTAAATACTGAATACAACATGGGCAGCTTCTGCATGATCCGGGGCCTGTTTGGCGGGGCGACGTCCCAAAATCATCACGTAAGCCAGCTCCTTGGAGCTTTCGCGATCTTCTTTGCAACGTTCCCTGTAGCAGTCTTGGGATTACGAGGAGCAGCAGAGCTTCATGGCCTCCATAATAATCATAGTATGTTGATCTGAGGCCAAGGGAGAGGGGAATATCAACGCAACGACGAACATTTCCCCGATGCATGTCGATACTGAAGATAGCATCGGATAGTAGGTCCCTCAGCCGCCCTCACGTTCGTCTGGGGACCTCAAGGTGCCTTGTTTTCAGGGGCGTTCCCTACATGCCCTGGTAGCCTAGAAGAGGACTCCAGCGACACGGGCAATGAGTCGGAGCCAGACGGATTACGGGTCGCACACCGGCTGTCGGCGCACGTCATGGGCTGGGGATCCGTAGCACGGCCTCAACGCCGGGCATCCATCGCAGAGCTGCGCGAACAGGGCATGACTACTGGCCAAGCAAACGCACAGGCTGTCGCACAGCACCGCAATGAAGTCCTCTTCGACTTGTATTCTCGCTACATCATGTGTGCTGCACTTCTGGCCGTGTTCCTGAGTTTGGTCGTTTGTGGACTCTTCGTTTGGCACATGTGGGAATTTTGGATTTACAGAAAAGTCAAGTGCAATGGCAATCTGAGGGTAATGACACGGGTAGTGCTGGGCATCTCGATCTTTGACATACTGATGGGCACGAGAGTGTGCTGCACAGAATTGGACGAGACGAGCCTTCCACGGAGGTGGAGAATGAAGGACTGTTGTATAGTGCTCTTGCTCCTGACCATGGGCATAAATGTTTGGGGGGTGCTTTCGCTCTCCGCTGCACAGATCAGCGGAGTGGAAGACGTAGGCCTGCTGCCCGACTGCAGCGATGCAGCCCCTGGTCTCTATGCTGCCACCGTAGCTCATGGAGTCGGCTTAGTCGTCTATTCAGTCTATCTCCTCATCAGCTTCGTTGGTGTCGGAAATCTGCTGGAAACATTGCTGCGAAGAGGCATGCTGAACTCCCCCTCTGCGGCACCCAAGGGATGCTTGGAAGACAACACGGTGGCAGTGACTCAAATCGAGGATGACTACGAATGCCCAATTTGCTTGGAGGAAGTGACCGAAGAAGAGGGAGTCATGACGAAGGAGTGCCACCACATATTTCACAAGCTTTGCCTGCAGCACTGGTTGCAAGTGAACAGTACTTGTCCTTTGTGTCGGCTAAGCCTGGCCAGACGCTAAGCATCCTTGCTTCGACAGGGAACGTGGCGTCTGCTCAGCGATGGTTCCTGCTTTAAACCCGCAAATGCTCAATGATGACAATTTTAATAATTCTTTTGTTGCAGAGTTCGGGCTTCTCAGCTTCGCTTGTTAGCCCGCGACGTCCATGCACAAAGACAGACTTCCCGAGCTTTCTTTGTTCATGTTGATTCGTTGATGCTCTTGTCGCGGCCAGTCCAGCGGACTCGACGCCCTCGGCCCCTGAGCTGGCTTAGAAAGCATTTAGAAGACGAAGCAACGACACGCGCAGCTGGTACCAGGTATTACTTATAAACAAGTACCTAGTCCTTCGTCAATGCATCGGGCGAGTGCATCTGGAATTTGGAGGTAGTCCAAGGCACATCTGCACAGCATACCGAACAAGATGTACGAGTTGTGACTTCACGCAAGCAATCCATCTGTTTTCTGTCCACGAGGCGAGTCCTACGGTCAGGCGGCACAGTACTTCCAGAGAGCTACTGGCACTAAATTTACACGTGTGACACCGCATCTTGATACATCGCCATGTCGGCTGAGCAAGCGCTGCAGATTGCGGCACCGCTCAGCGAGAATTCGATGTCGAAGAACACGCATCCGCATGTGACGGAGATGATTGTGCTCACTGACAAGCTCGTGCATCAGGTTCGGGGCATCTCGCAAGCTGCAGAGATTGAAAGCGCTGGCACAGACAACGCAGAAGGCCTGCGGGAGGCTGCAGGCCTGGTCCAGACATGTCCAGACAGCGCCCAGCGCAGTGGGCCAAAAACGTGCCTCAAGGGAGGAGGGCTCCATGCCAGTTTGTTTTTTTTTATGCAGGTCGGGTGTGTGCCTCGCTGATGTTCTTCCTCGAGCACCCAGACAGCAGGGTCCAGGTTCATTGTGCCAGGGACCAAGTATGACCATTTATTACCCGTGTTGACACTTTTGGCCGATGCTGTGGCACCCAAGGCGGGCACCATGAAAAAGTGCTTTGAAAGCGGGAAGCTGAGCACGGAGACCGTTTAGGGATTAGGGCGATTAGGGTTTTAGGTTAGGGCCTAGGGTTTGAGGGTTTAGGTACAAGGTTTCGGGGCTGCGTGAGGGTGATGGGTTTAGGGTGGGGTTGGGGGTTTCTAGAGTTTTCGGGTCTTAGGGTGTAGGTTTAGGGTTTCAGGGTTGTAGGGTTTTTGGGGTACAAGGTTTAGAGTTTGCGTAAGGGTTTTAGGTTTGGGGTGCAGTGCGTGGGGGGGGGGGGGGGGGGGATACCATGGGGCGACGATCGACCCGGCGACACCGAGCTGTACCTAATCCCTAAAACCCATATCCCAACATACCCTAAGCCCTCAACTCCTACAGCCTAAACCCTGGGAGGATGAGGCATCTTACTGCGCTGGCATGCGATCCATCAAGAACCAATCAGCAGGGAGTTGTAGTGGCTTTGTGGCTACGTTGTGTTTTGGAGCTGATGCTGTGCCATGATGTTCAACAGGATACTCCGACGCGATCAGCGCTGAAGACATGGTCAAAGTCAGGCGACACAAAGTGAATGCGCAGACAGCATGGCCAGTGAGCCACAGTGAAGCATCCATCCTGGTATCTAACCGTAAATCATCCCCACTCCGTGCAATATTTCGAAATATTTCCACTGACCAACCATGCTGCCTCAAGATGTCTGAAGGCGGGCGTACACTCGCTGCATCCAGACCGCAAAGGAAAACACGCTCGACGGCGACCGTCAGGCTGCTTGAATGAAAAATTAGTTTCATGCAAAATGTCACGAGCATGTGCCGAAGATGAGTTTGATTCCATGTGCCGACAGGTGGCCTTGAGGATCCTGGGCTGGATTGTCAGCCGCGCTGATGGTGAAGACTATGCCAGGATCGGAACTGGGCAGCTTCTGAGGAGCTTCCCAACAGCGTTCCCAACAGCATCAGCATTGAGCACGTGACTCACATGTTTGTTTTGCCAAGCAAGACACGGATTCCCTGAGATGGGTCGGCCGGTTTCGAAGCCAGTGCAGTTCCATGAGTTGGATTGCAGTGCTGCTCTTGCAAGTTGCCACCAGATGGCCTGTGTAAAGACCAGAGTTGTGATTGGCGCTACACCTTTTTGCAGCTCCAAAACATGGCTGGTCAGTAAGCTTCACAGGGCACAGAACGACGAGGAGGAGGACCTGGTCACCTGCCCAGCCAAGGACTGGGCCACGCAGCATGTTCTGACTGCTTGGGCTCGAGGTTTTTCTCAAGTTTCCTAGTTGCGGCTTGGCAGGATCGAGGAGGCCAGGTGGCAGTGAAGGCAGGCTGCAAAAGTTGGACAAAAAACCTTTTTGCTTGACTGCTCCAAGTGAGAGGCCGTGGGTCAGAAAGATGATGAGGAGCTCCGAGCAGGCTTGCTAGCCGAGGCGAAGAGATGTCAACGAGTGCATGTCTGTGCTGGCATTGTGCTGGTTGACACTTCTCAAGATGCTTCTTGCAGGTCATCAAACTCCCTCAAGTCGTCAGTGTGACCTTTGAGGCCTTTGAAAACCACATTCCACCGCTGAAGACGAGTCGATTGGAACGTCTGTCGTTCTCACTGCTCGTGGTTGTCCTTGAAAGTCTGCCATGGTTGCTTCTGCACGTGCATGGGCTCAAAATCGGATGCTTGGTGTCAGCGGCGGTGTGCTGGATTCTGCCTCACGTGTTCGTGCTGCTGGCAGGCGGAGTATATGATTGTCGCAACCAGATCGGCATCGGACTCCAGAAATGCACTGTTTCTGGCAGATCTGCTGCTTTGCTGAAGAATGAAAGACGTGCCAAATCCTGAACCACGAGACCGATGCTTAAGACAGGTCCCACAAGGTGTTTGCCAAGTCTTTGCTAGTGCTGAACTGCTAGCAGTGCCACCTCCCGTCGTACAGCTCAGCACTTCGATGTGATCCCAGGCTCAATACGATTATGGAGAAGGCCATTCTGACGAGAGAGTGACGAGAGTGATCCGAACTGCATCCGAACTATCCAAACGGCATCGCTGCTGTCTTGCGACCTTGTAACAGTCATATCATGGCCGAATCGTCCTTTGGATCTGGTGCAGGGAGAACACGGGGCGAGCCTGGTGAATCCGCAGGCTCGCTTGGCCCTCAGTACTTGACTACGCTTGCGATTGAGATGACTCGGACGGGACTTGCTTGGACTTGACATCCTGCTTCCAGGTCCAGGTGATGTGAGCGGCTTGACCGGAGGAGCTTTAACCGCGTGCAGTGCTGTCCACTGCAAGATGACCTATAGCATCGCAGCATATCATGAAGTTGGTGAGTGTAAACATCCATGTCGTCTCCTTGAGTACAGAGATCTGGGCAGCAAAAGCTTGAAGCACAGTCGAGACGTGGGCTTTCTATGTCTTTACTTTCTTCACAGCTCCAGCCAGGTTCTCAGCTTGAAACCAGTCAGTCCAAGGGAATTTCGAATACCCGAAGCCACAGGGCCAGCAAGACTGATCTCGTGCGCTTGCAGAGCATGCAGTTACTTATACACGAACGCGCACACACGTGCACACACGTGCACACACGTGCGCGCGTGGAAGCACAAGCGCGCACGTGGAAGATGTGCGCGCGCGTACGCGTGGAAGCACATGCTCGCACGTGCGATCGCAAGAGCGCGCAGGGCGCACGCGCTCGCGCAGTCCCGCTGTGCAGAGCTGCTCACATGCAGAAGCCTGATTGAAAGCCCAAGAATGGCTCGCTGTCGTCTGGGAACCCCTCATCGTCCTGGTCTTGTGGCGGATTGGAGAAACCCCAATTTGGTGGCAGATATGTGATTGCACAAGGGCGAAAACACAAAACAACGAACAGAACAGAAAACAACTGAGCGGGCTCAAAGTGAGCAGGCGCATGGGTACTTTGTGGCAAGGATGCGATGCCATGTGGGCTCAATTGCTCTCGCTACGCCATGTAAACTTTGCGCGTCCTCGCTCGCCTTAGCCTCTCTATCCTTCAATTATTTGGGGCTGTTGCCTCGGGAAAGAGAGGAAACTTTGCAGGCTTCCTTCATCCGCTCTGGGGATCAGCATGTAATTGACCAGTCGAAGACGCTGCGGCCTTCGTCCTTCCGCGGGCTGCACGCACTTGCTTGCTTCCACCCCACACGCACGCCAGATCACATCAGCAGGTGCGTATTCTTCCGTGTGTGTTTCTCAACTCAGTAGCTTCCTTTTTGGAGCCTCGTTATCGCGCACGAGCTTTTCGCGGTGTTGGAAAGGGAATTATTACGAGAACGTGCTGAGCACCAGTCGCGGAAGAAGTCGTTTGTGGCAGTTTCACGTCGTCTTTGGCTTATGTGTCATGTAAGCTGTCTGAGAGCAGGAAGCCCTTCGGCAAGTTCGCCGGGACCTTGGCAAGAGCCTGCATATCGCATCGCCTCCATGTTGTGGGTGTGCATCAGGACTGCCCCGCCTGTAGATGTGGAGAAGGATGACGAGGAAGAATTGGGCAAGGCCATATTCAAAGTCGACCATGCGACTGAAGGGTGATGGACCAGTGATGGACATTATGTCCTGGACAAAATGCGTTTCGGCCCAAGCGGCAGGGCGACTTCCCAGTGGTTCAAGATGGTAGATTGAAATTGGCTACGCTGCATGGGTTATCCAAATGCTGAAATCCTGGTGTGGAGATCAGAACTGATCAGCATGCTTGACAGCCACAGGTAGCATCGTAAAGTTGAGCTGTGTGCTGGGTTCTTCAGTATGAGCAGGGTCGCGCCCTGGTCCTCTTGGGCCGAGTTCCATGGCGTCTTCCTTCAGCTAACATCTCCGCAGCCTGCCGAGAGAGCAAGGGGTGTCAAACGGGTGGAAACCTGGACACTTGCCCGAAGTTAGCCTCATGCCGACGTGACGAGAGCGGTACTGCATCCAGATGTCTGTATACTGCGAACTTCCATGCGGCCTGTGGCCGAACGAAGGGTCGACAGCTACTTTTCGCAGGAGATTCGGTGCCCGGCGGCATGTACATGGCATGATCCTTGAACCGAGGAGAACTCGATGCCGCCTGCCTGTGGCAGTGGATGTCACAGCAAGCTTTGTGGAGATCATGCTGAACGATGCTTATCTCAATCCTCAAACCGCGACGCCGAGAAGCGATCATGAGCTGCGCCTCATGTACGCGATGGCCGTGGTACGTCTGGTAAATGGGATTGTGGCCGCGGCCACAGCTGTTTCCATGCTTCCACACCATCTCCGATTTTGTACCATTGCTTGAATGTTGCGTATCATTGATCAGGATGTGTCACGAACGGGAAAGACTGGTTCGATCTTGGCCAGGGCACAGAGCGCCGAGTGGCCCCAGCTGTTTGTAGATCTGCGGCACGAAGCCTCCCACCAGGCAAGAGCTGGCAGCTTGTTGGCAGGGGCGCATCTTCCACGGCTGTCCCACGCAAAGAAGCCACAAGCAAGTTCGAGAGCTGCAGAATCACTGACTTGCCGTACGGCTCTAGAGCAGCTCGGGAGGAAGTCCACCTTGTAAGGTGCATGTACACACACACACACACTTGGATTGGCCAGAGCGCATACAAACAAACTGAAGACAGGACAAGACTGGTTTTTGGGGGGCGGCATGTATGCATGAAGATGAGACGAAAAACATGTGGTCTCAATTCGTGCCAGACACCGGGAATGGCACAAGCGAACAATGGATGACATGATGCCAAACGGGTGGTATGGGTGCGGCCCCCGTTGCATCAGACGCCGGGAATGACGCAACGCGAAATGACATGAGGGATGATCGAGGAGTGAGGCCTCCCAAGCTACTCCCACGGGAGTCCATGAGCAGGCCGAAGCAGGTATGTTTACGCGGGCTGGGGAGGGGGTTCTTCGTTGACCGGCACCCCTCCCCGCCCTTCCGGTCCCCGGCTGTAATTTTGCACCATGTCTAGGTGTTCGCACGCACACACACATACACACATATATACACATATATATATATATAAATAAATATAAATAAATAAATAAATATATATATACACACACACACACACACCCACGCCCCCACGCCCCCACGCCCCCAAACCCCCACACACACACACACACACACACACACACACACACACGCACACGCACACGCAACCGCACACGCACACGCACACAGCACACGCACACAGCGCACACAGCGCACACAGCGCACACAGCACACACAGCACACACAGCACACACAGCACACACAGCACACACAGCACACACAGCACACACAGCACACACAGCACACACAGCACACACAGCACACACAGCACACACAGCACACACAGCACACACAGCACACACAGCACACACAGCACACACAGCACACACAGCACACACAGCACACACAGCACACACAGCACACACAGCACACACAGCACACACAGCACACACAGCACACACAGCACACACAGCACACACAGCACACACAGCACACACAGCACACACAGCACACACAGCACACACAGCACACACAGCACACACAGCACACACAGCACACACAGCACACACAGCACACACAGCACACACAGCACACACAGCACACACAGCACACACAGCACACACAGCACACACAGCACACACAGCACACACAGCACACACAGCACACACAGCACACACAGCACACACAGCACACACAGCACACACACCACAGCACACACACACGCACACACAGCACAGCACACAGCACGCACACACACAGCACACACACGCACACACGCACACGCACAGCACAGCACGCACAGCACGCACACACAGCACGCACAGCAGCAACACACGCAGCACACGCACACACGCACACACAGCACGCACAGCAGCACAGCACACAGCACACACAGCACACACACACAGCACGCACAGCACGCACAGCACGCAGCAGCACACAGCACGCACAGCACGCACAGCACGCACAGCACGCACAGCACGCACAGCACGCACAGCACACGCACAGCACGCACAGCACGCACAGCTCAGCACGCACAGCACGCACAGCACGCACAGCACGCAGCACGCACGCAGCACGCACGCACAGCACGCACAGCACGCACAGCACGCACAGCACGCACAGCACGCACAGCACGCACAGCACGCACAGCACGCACAGCACGCACAGCACACAGCACGCACAGCACGCACAGCACGCACAGCACGCACAGCACGCACAGCACGCACAGCACGCACAGCACGCACAGCACGCACAGCACGCACAGCACGCACAGCACGCACAGCACGCACAGCACGCACAGCACGCACAGCACGCACAGCACGCACAGCAGGCACAGCACGCACAGCACGCACAGCACGCACAGCACGCACAGCACGCACAGCACGCACAGCACGCACAGCACGCACAGCACGCACAGCACGCACAGCACGCACAGCACGCACAGCACGCACAGCACGCACAGCACGCACAGCACGCACAGCACACACAGCACACACAGCACACACAGCACACACAGCACACACAGCACACACAGCACACACAGCACACACAGCACACACAGCACACACAGCACACACAGCACACACAGCACACACATCCACCTACGCACTCACGCACACATGTAGGCACGATGTTGTACCCGTGTGGCCTGTTTCGCCGCTGTGACCCTGAGAACTTGCCAGCGCTGCCAATACTTCGCTTGGCAGCCCAGGAGGCCGTTTGGCCCCTCGACTGGGAAGATCTGCTTTGGGCCACTTTGCATCCGTTGAATCCTCGGGACACGGCCCGGCTGAGGCTCTTGGTCGAGCGCTTCTGGCGCCCGCAGCTTCAAAAAATAGAGGAGCGGGGCCGCAGCTTGGCTTGAGCCGATACCTGTGTGTAAATGAGCTCGCGCAGTCGTATACCATCTGTATACAATCCGTCTTACAATCTGTCATACAATCTGTCTACAATCTGTCTAAAACATGTAACGAAACAATAGGATTGAGCAGACGAACCCAGGCACCGACAAAGCCCAGATGGCAGACAGAGGAGCGAAAACCCTGGATCGCAGGTTGAAGGCTCAACGGGTGTGGCTTGCCGTGCTGTTGCCGGGTGTGAGTCTCTTTCAAGCTGTCCAAGAAGCAGGAGGGTTTCTTGAACCATCACCATGAGCCATCTAAAGATATCTAAAGAATCTAGAGGTAAAGTCTACCTCAAAGATTAGCGATGCAACCTGGATGCCTCTGGCAAGGCTCTCATTTGGTGCACGACCGCGACGGGTATGGCGTCGGAGGGCCCATTGCGGAAACGACGGAAGGGCAGCAAGGCGAAGCTTGGAGAGGTGGCGCTGTAGACAATGTTGTCTACAACATTGTGCACAACATCGTTGACCAATTGGCCCATGAGTCATGAGGGGTACTGTGTAACCCCCAAGATACTCTGGACACGAATCAAGCCAACAAGGCTCGGCAGATTTGTCCGTGCAGTTGGCAGGACCAGGATGGAGAGACTGCCAGAGAACCAGAGGCGGCCGCCAAGCGCGTTGCTGAAGATCTGTCGGGCATGGCTGCAGATGAGAGCAAGCTCCTTGCGCGCATCTTCCAGGCCTCGAGCCCCATTGAGTTTGCGAATCCTCCTGAAGTTGAGTTCATTGTGCTTGACTCGTTCCTTGAACTCTTCTTGACCTTACGTGTAGGTCCTCGAACGGGATCCACATGCTGATGGCAGGGAAGCCAGGGCCATTCACCTGCTGTGCCAGCACCGTGCTCGCAGCACATACAGTTCTATAGTCAGATGCAGCCATGCTCGCAGTCAGGTGTTGGCATTCTGTGTTCGGACATGTTCGGACTGTCCGAAGCACACCAGCCAGTATTCCTGTGTACAAGGACCTGCTCCGAGAACTTCGCGCTGCGCTTTCTCCGCCAGCTTCTTTTTGCAGCTGCGGGGCTTCCTACTGTCAAACTGGAAGGGGCAGCGGACAACTGCCCGAGCTTACGGAACATCTCTGATGCTTGGCTGAGCTGATCTGAATGTGCGTCGACTCTGCCTGAAACGTCTAGAAGACGCGAGGGACGGGTCGGGGGGTGTTTGAACGGCGCTGCTAAATACTAGTGCAGCCGAGGATCGCTGCTGTGGAGGTGCAAGAGAACTGGATGTGAAGGACCTGGATGACCTGGCTTGGCTCGGTGCTTCGGTGAGAATTGAGAAGCTGCGCACGGCATCTGTTTCAGAGGACCACTCCATGGAAGACTCCGAAAGGATGCTGCAGTGGCTTTGGGCGCTTCTATCGGCTGATGCTCCAGACAAAGATACCGGAAGGCAAGCTTACCATGAAGGAAACACGAGGGAGAAGTGGGAGAACAGTCATGAGAACCAGTCATTCTGTCAACTCATCGTTGAACCCCCTGCCGAGTTCTTCGCGCTTCCGTTGTGCATTGGTCAGCTTGCTGCCGTCGCTGCGGCTTGCTGCCATGGGTCACATGGCAAGCTCGGCCGGGCCTGACATCGTGCCTTTGCGCCAACTTAGCTGAGAAGGCTTAGCAACACACCGACAGACGGAGGAACACCATTTTCTTGGCCAAACTATTTGCAAAATGGAAGGGTTCCCAAAATAGCACAGAGCTTCACGACTTGACACGCACGAACTTGAAGTCGCATTAGGAGTGAATTGAATGGAGACCATGCATGTCTTGTCGATTTTTCTCGCTCCTCAATTCGGGCTTCTTTCGCTGTCTCCGCTTGCACCATCCATCTCCAGTTTGATTACACACGAAAAGGAACAAGACAAGCTTCCAATCCAAGGAACAGCTCTAGTTCGATAGTGAGGTAGCCACACATCTGCCAGATGTGAAGGGAGGGTTCAAGAAGCGAGGAGTTCAATGGAATGGGAGAACAGCACTTGCGCCTCTACTTGCCAGTTCCCGAATCCTTGCACCGATGCAGTCGTTTTCCATCTGCTTGAGATCTCGTTGTTCTCGTGAAGCCAAGTGATGCAAAAACGTAACTCGGCACTTAGGCCTCTCGCTCCTCGCGCCTCTGGGCAGCCTTGAGGGAAGAGAGGCTTGATGCTGGGGCCGAGATGTTCTCGGCCATGTGTGAGGCCTGGAAGTGACGGTACTCCCAAGTTTCGCCTGTGTTTTCGCTGGCAAATCTCGGAGAGGCACTGGATCCGTCGAGTGGCCTCGGCTCTGCGGTTCCAGCGCACCAGGGACCGTCCACAGGCGTGGGGTGAATGGCCCACGCAGACGCCCTGTTGTGGTTTTGCGTGCTCCTCGACAGGATTGGAGACACTGGAGGCTTTTGTCAAACAAAGCCAGTCCGAGTCGGGCCCTCAGCTTCTGAGCCGGGACACACTTCCCAAAACTCTCTCGGCTTGTACTGCAGTTGATGGCTGGTCCGAGATGTACCTTCCAGAATGACTGGGCATGATTTACGTCTTCATGACATTGATTCCGCATATCTTTTCGTAGGAATGGGGCCAGACCTGGACGAGCCGAGCCGTGGACGGCCGTGGGCACCGTGCTGGACAGAAACCTGTCGATCTCTTGCCGGGAAGAGCCGCTTGGCGAAAAGACCACCACAAATCTACGATACAGGGAGTCTACGCAGTGAGTGGAGTCGAGCGTTGCCGCAAGTGGCACGAGGCACCATTTAACGTACAAAGCCCTGAAAACCCTGGCAGGAGCGGATGATCTCTCAGAAAGGGGGGGGGGCATGTTTTTGTTCTGAAAACACCCGTTTCAAGTAGAGTGCAGGGAGGTCAGAAGAGTCAGAAGCCGCACTATTCTCCTCTGTTGGCTTGTCTGCGTGTCCCCGGCGATTTCCCGGGAGGCTATGTCGTTCGGAACGGCTTGGGTGGGTGAATTGCAACGAGCATGGAGCGAAGCAAACAGAGCTCGGAAATATTCATGTCAAACCCGCGCCCCGATGTCTCTGAGTTCTCCACAAGCTACTCAAGGCACAGTTTCGTGGTTGTTTCGAGGCATCCCGAGAAGATGCCGCTTTCTGCAGAAGCCCAGCAGAAATGGCTCGACTGGGCAGCAGAGGCACCTGGGCCAGAAATTCAGTAGAAACTCGGACCATGCCACAGCTCGCTTCTCAGCCTTTTCCTTTTACACCAGGGATACCTGCGCAGGATTTCTATGCCAACTCGGATGACAAGGAGGTCATTCGGGAAGGCGGCCGGGAGATCGGTGTACCCATCGAAGACAGTCTTGATGACCCAGCCGACTCAGGCACGTTGGGCTGATTTGGGCTTCACTGTGCATTGCCGAATGAGCTTGGCCTCTACCTGATGATGGCATTTAGAGTGAAGCAGAAGCCATCCCGCCCCGACTGTTCTCTCGCTCTCTCGCTCTCCCCCTCTCGCTCTCTCTCTTTTTTTGTTTTTGCTCTCTCCCTCTCTCTCTCGCCTCTCTTTCTCTCTCTCTCTCACTCTCTCTCGTTCTCTGTCTCGCTCACTCGTGTGCATCGAGCTCTGAAAGATCCTACCCGACATAGCGCATGCATGATCCTCCACACCGACGCTTCTACGCCGCTAAAAGTCTTGTCGACAAGGCAACTGCTAGGTGTGAGCAGGAGAATGGCGTGCCAGCAGTGTGTCAGCTCTGCCCTAGGCTGCCATAGACTTGGTCTCAGTACATTCAGAGCTGACACAGGTGCCTTTTTTTTTCAATGTTGCAAAAAAGTCCAAGCTTTGCGACCACACAGTTGGCTGACAAGTCTTGTGTAGAAACGCATGTGCGCATGCACTCCCAGAGCATGTCATGAACGAAATAAATATACTTCAGCAAAATGCACGGAAGCTAGACCAGACGTTACTGTCGGTCGCGCGCAACAGCAACAACGTTGCATTGTGCTAAGGGTGCCTGGTGAGTCACATTCTGCATTGCTGGAGACGTGCCAGCGGAAGCTCGAATGTAAATCCGATTTCAGACGACTGCCACCTTTGCAACAACCCGTGCGACACGGGGTGTTTGCAGTGAGGTGGACTGGTAGGGCTTCGGGAACTTCACCACAAGGGCCTTGCAAGTGCTTATACTTATCCTTCTAGCCGCCTAGCCATCTAAAAAGCTCTCGCGAAGTGTTCGACCTGACAAAGCTCACGAGAAGGCTTGAACGAGAAGGCAATTTGATGCGCCGAGCTGCCCCCTAAGACTGGAGGAAAATTGGTTGAGTCAAGGCATGCCGGTCGGTGCGCACGTGCGGCTTCTGTGTTGAGACGTGTCACGCGGAGCTACACATCCATGAGTCGCAGACAGAGAATCCCTGCTTCACTCTCATTCAGAGCACTACGTCACTACGTCTTTAGGCATGCACGTTTCGACAGCTGCACTGATGTTGGACCGGCTGAGACGTTCGGACAAAGGCACAAACTAAACTGTGCGCCGGGGGCGCGGTTGGACTTGCGATTTCGTGTGATTTGATGTAAATCCCCGGACGGCAAGTGAGTGTTTAAGCAGGCGGAAACATATGGAAACATTTTGAAGAACCAGACCACGTGTTTGTGCGAAGTCGTCAACGCTGCATGATTGAGCCCAAAGCTGATGATGAATGGCGGTAAAGCTGGTGACGCGTCTGTTACGACTGCCTCTTGTGATTCCAGAGCACATGAAAGATGGCTATGATATGGTATGATGGAGTTGACAGTGATACGGACAGCATTGGCTAGCTCATGAAAACAGGACGCGGATGTCGTAGTTGTTGAGGCGTGCTGGTCGAGACAAGCCTTCTCCCGGAGATCCCAGGGAAGCTGGACACTAAGGACAACTAAGTGATTGGGGAGTCGAGTTTGGTCTAGAGTCTAGTTGTGGTCAACGGGAAGGGTGAAATTGCGGTGCAGACGATCCACAGTTTCAAAGGAGCTCCAGCCCATGAATCCAGATCCGGTTGCCGACAGCGAGCACTCTGGCGGATTTGGACACGTTCCCTGCATGTGCAAGATCCGTGATGAAGTTTCAGATTGCGTTTCCCACATCTAAGGAGGACAGCGGTGCCTCAGGTCCAAGCAGAAGATGTTGAAGTGGAAGTTTCTTTGCTGGCAAGTGGGCCGCCAGACTCCCCGTTTATACTGTAGTTGTTAATTGAGAGACCATCTGCAGTGACGAGCTGTTGCGAATGCCAATGTTCTTCCGGTTGCCCTTTAAGGCTCAGGAACTGGCTGCTGAGCCAATTACAGCTGACGAGTTTCGGCAGCTTGCCGCAGAGGTGCTGGCACTGGCCGCAGGCCACTCCTCGCAGGCGACGTAAAGCGCCACGCGCAGCAACTCTTTGCCGGTGTTTTCCAGGAGCTTTGAAGAGTGTCGAAGCTCTGCAGCTGTAGAGCTAGACTGGCTTGTCATGAGTACGTGCAAGCCGCTCGCAATCTGCAGCCCGGAGAACCGGACGCGGGGTGCCAGCATGCAGCGCAGATGAAAATCGTGCCCCTTTTTTGCGCAAGAGTTTGTGCGTGTTTGCGTTCTTGCTGTTTGCCACTTCTGCTAGCAGCCGCTTCGATTTGGAGCATCCAAGTTGTAGTGAGGGCCAACATTCTCATGTCACAACTCCCCACACAGATACTGTACTTGTACTACTACAGCAGCGACAGCAGCAGCGGCAGTAGTGGTCGTCGTCGTAGGCGTGGACGGAGTCGTTGTCATCTCAGTGGTGCTAAGGGAGTACGATGTGCCGCTCTGTGCTACTACCTTGCTCCGAAAGCGTACCGGAATGTACCCGCACTTCGGCTCATGTCAACGATCCGCGCACCTTCGCACAGATTCGTGGACAAAGATGCCCTTCTTTTGCTCGGCACTCTGTGTGCTGGCGATGGCGCCTGCAGCTGCGGCATACCATGCACCGCCGCGTCTCCGAGCGAAGGATCGCCACAGTGCACCATAGTGCATTCCACATGATTTGGAGCTCCTAACAAGCCGAAGTTCTTTTTAACTTCGAGCATCGCAGGGCTCACGGCGCCTTACGCAGAGGCAACGACTACAGAGCCCTGGCGCATCCCGACTTTGGCTTGATTCAAGGTTTTACGTCACTGCTTTTGTACCCTTAAGTAGTTGGCCTTGCGACGCATGAGTCCACCCCTTGTGTTTCTATCTGAGTGGCATGTCTCTTTGGTTGTTGGCGTGCGTGCATTCTTTGTGAGTGAGTGCATCCCTGCAATACCCTGCAGCACGACTGGTTTGCTCGCTTGCCGGTGTCCTTGTTTCTTGCATCGAGTCCTCTGCAAATCGTTTGCCCAAATGCATCTTGCTTGTGCTGCGGCTTCTGCATGACAATTGTTTTCTTGTTGGTTGCACTTTCCGTATGGCAAGCAAATCCACAATTGCCATAGCTAAGCAGTTAGACTAAACAGATGCACGTTATGAAATGCAAGCACACGCGGCAGCGCTCTTGTGTTCCATGTGCGTAAGCAAGTAGCAGTCACAAGAAGCAAGCCAGCAATTGTGTCTATGATGCAAAGAAGCAGACGACAGCACGAGACGCATACGATGCCCAAAAGAAATGTGATTGAGTTTCAGCGAGTCAAGGGCCTCAAGAAAAACTGGACAGGCAGCGGCATAGTGGCCAAGACTTTTCCAGAGGGATGTTGCCAACGCAAGTGGTAGATGAACGCCTGACTCGCTTGTGCAAGGTAGTCTACGCCGTCATTAACCAAACAGCCTCGGTCTCATCAACTTTGCGAGAACTCCTCCCAGCTGCGACCAGTGAGTCTGTTGCGGAGCTCGTCGCCTTGGGCGCCCCTGCCCTTGATGGATCTAGAAGGATGCCTTCTAGTGGTTCTGGTGGTTCTGGTCTCAGCACTGATCGACCTGAAGTGGAATTAGGGAGTTAGACCGTGCGACAACTTATGACCTGTCAATATGACAGGCATGCCGTTATGCCTTCAACCATTTGTTTAGACATGTTGCGAAGTTCCGATAGAATGCTTTGCAGCTCGTTTTTGAGGAACTGCTCGGCCATTCGTGAGATGTCAGGAAGCACAGGACAAACAACAATAACTCCGAGCTATGTAGAATCAGCAAGGAAAACCGCAAGCTACTACTATCACCCTTTCTGACCTGCCTTAGGTGCTGTGTACTACATGCCGCCGAAGGGATACCGTTTTGAGCGGTTGGGCAGCACACTCTTGCCGGTACACTCCGACAAGAGGCAGCTGATGCAGGACTTCGTTCACCCAAAGCTTGGCGACGTCACTGCAACAAAACTGTCAAACGCCTACAGTGTGTGATCAACAGCCACTTGCCAATGCTGCAGAAACCTGGGCAGGAGACACTGGTTGAGCGAGGTGGAGAACTTCGGGTGCACACGGACCCGAAGCGATATGAAATGTGCTCCATGGAAGCCTGCAGCTGGGACGACCGTTTGCTCTACATGAGTCCGGAATACATCGTGGTGGACAAGCCTGCAGGAGTTCCTTGCGCACCCCATGTCAGCAATGGGCGAACCTTGCACACGCATTGCATCACATGGCTGTTGCACCTGCACTTACCCCGCACGGTCCCGAAACCCAAAACCCAACTCACCCCAATTCGGCCCCGAAATCCAAATCTCCCCACTTCTGTCCCCAGACACCTTGACCAGACCGGCAAGATCGATCAGGGTAAGCGTTTCTTGTAAACTCATCAATGCAGCTAAGGGGAATGGCTTGTCCCCTGTGTGGCGGCCGCTCTGTCAACCTTGGGTTTAGCACGTTTAGCAGGAGATGGTCTCAAACGCGAGGAGCAGCTTGTCGCCTGCCACAGGCTGGACGTAGCAACCTCTGGTTTAACCTTGCTGGCGAGAACCAAGCAGGCCGCGGAGCACTTCAGGTCTCTGCTCAGCGAGGGTGCTGTGAAGAAGCGCTATCGCGCCCTGGTTTCCAAGCAGGTCAAAGCCGATACCTGCTTGGAGCACTGGATTTCGGACGCAGTTTTTGGGAAGCCTGCGCCACGTCTTATTGCTCCGCTGGATGCTCCTGTCACGGATAGCAAGCACAAGTGGAGAACTGCGAGAGCCACTATTTTGTCAGCTACCCCCAAAGGACATAGACAAGAGGTGCTGTTGAATCTCCACACTGGCCGAACTCATCAGATTCGAGCCCAGCTTGCATCAGTGGGTTCGCCTGTTGTGAACGACAGCCTCTACAGCAACATGGCAGATTTCCTTTGGCAGGGGGGACACGATGACAAGGTGGCAGAAGACCTCGTTCGCAATGCTAGTTTGTCGGATGATCTCCCGATAGGGCTGCAGTGCGCCGAACTAAGGTTTGATGATGTAGTTGTGAAATCACCTCAGCCGTGGTGGCAAAAGAGCAAGCTGTTTCGGCCATTGCTAAAGAGCCATCTTCTCACTGTGCAAGCTTTCCCTGCTGTTTCTGGTCGCGCTGTCCTTTGAGAGCTTGGCAGGATGCCGTGGTTCCAGGATACCTGGATGATGAGCTCGACAAAGGTGGGCATGACTCCTCCTCCTCCTCCTCCTCCTAAGACCGGATAAACCCTCTTCACTTGCATCTCCTCACTATTTCGTTCATTGCGAGTCTCTTTGACAGCATGCGATCTGCTCCAGTTTGGCTTCTGGGTCAGTGCAAAAACGGGCTGTTCTCATGGAATTGCAGCTGTCCTGGGCGACTTGAAATTCATGCTTCCGCCAAGGTGCTGCCGAGCGCTGGGAGCTCGGTGCAGTCATGATCTAGTTTGCTCATGTTTGACGAAGTGCCCTCTTTTCTGAAGCTGCGCAAAGCGCAGCTCAAGGCTTCTGGTCTTCCGCATAGTCTAGCTAAATCTCTTGTGATCCGTGCATTATCTTTCAGGATACGGAGCCGAGCATCAGCGCCAAGGCCGCAAGCATTGTGAATTTTCCGTCAGTACTGATGCCATGCAGTGCAAAGGGCGGGGTGGGTGGGGGCGTCGGGGTGGTTTGGGGGCTGGGTGGAGGAGGGTTTTGGAGACTACCCTCATTCCCTGTCCAACAAGACGAACTCTCTTTTCATATGAGAACTCATATCGGCCTCTCTGCTCAGGGATTCCCCAGCTGGCAGAAGATCTGTTAGAAAGCAACTTCCCATTCCTGTCTTCTCTTCCTGGGCCAGGTGACTCCATGCCTCAGTGGTTGCCCGGCGGCGCTTGTGTGATGCTTGTTAAGCTGTTGCATGCCCAGCTGAAGTGTATGTGAGCGAGTCACGGCACATGGGTGTTGAAAGAAAAATCCAATGCCAGGACGTTCTTCGCTCAACAGAATTGGATGGACCAGAGACGGCTTCAGGACAGGCATCGGAAGCTATTTCGGTCCGGGGCTGCTTTGGCTGAAAAGTACTAGACCCTTTAAGAGGCCCTACAAACCACAGATTCCATCTGATTCTACCTGCTGTAGGAGTATGACGACGACCCCAGCATCGCCGCCAGGCCTGACCGACACGATTGCAGCAAGAACGAACAGGTCTCTTGAGGCTCCCTTTTCCCTCATACCAAATTCGAGTTTGATCCTGAAACAAAAAAATGGATCGTGAGCGCAAATATGAAGATGTTTCAGGGTGGCGAGGCCGCAAGGCTTGCAAACCCCAGGAGTACCGCACACCGGCTGTTACATTGTGGATCTCTGTGAATGTTTTTTCAGGCTGGCCAAGAAAAAGAAGCAGCAGCAGCAGAAGCGTGAGGAGGAAACAAGCCGAAGAAGCGGAGCCTCAGAGAATATCCAGGAATCCAGTGCCGCGTTGTTGAAAGCCCGCACTTTCCCCGTTCAGAGTCGCTTTGCTAGTTGAAAGTGCTCCAAGGGCCGTCCTTCCCGAGGTTGGTTTGCCTCATGGCTCGGCTGGCAAGACTGAGGGGGAAGCCCGGCCATCAGTTTGACTTTGTGTGCTATGTGCAAACATCGCGGCTGCCTCAAGAATTGTTTGTTTGCCTTGAAGTGGTAGTTACGCGTGGCATCCAGATCCTGGGTTTCTTTGATGCGAAATCTCATTTCAAAGTACACAATGCACTTTTTTGTTTTTTTGTCCATCGTTGTCCGTGCTTTCTTGCCCTTGTGATGCTTCCTAGATAGAGACCTGAAGCGGCTTTCCTGTGAGTCTGCACCATTGCTGTCACCTTGTCAGCCATCCTTCCTTGTGACCCAAATGAGTGCGTTGGTGTTGTGTAGCTGTGGCATGTGCCTTTCGAATATGTAATCAGCCACAACCTGAGAGCACAGCACTTGTTTCTGGGATTGCAGCGTGGCTATTTCCAGATTTCCTGGAGCTGCAAACCGCAGAGATTCCGGGTAGTTCCGCATCGAATGAACCTGGATTCCCGGCCAAACCGTGCTACCTTGAGGTATCTTCAGGGTCAATATATAGTACTGTGAACAGCAGTCCCAGTCCATTGACGTTTGGAATCCTGTTAAACATGTCCGTCCTCACACGAAGGGCATGTGGTGATGGCTTCCGATCTTCGCCTTGCCAGCACGGGCAGTCAAGATCAGTGAAGATAAATGCGGCAGCCGGGGGTGAAAGAGTGGCATGCGAGTGCTGCCGTTTCTGAGAGCTTCTTCTGTGTGAGCGACTCGCAAAACGAGGTTGCTGGGCATATCTGCGTTTCTGTCGACCCCGTCGCTGTCAGCAGCTGGACTCAAGCGACTCAAGACTTTTGTTTTTGTAGCTTAACGATGTTTGCCGTACAGGAATTGACCAAGACCCTTTCTTTGGTTCTGTTATCCGACCGCACATCCTATCCACGACCGAAAAATCTGTCCATGGGCGTTATTGGGGCCATGGCGCTCGCTTCAGCCAAGACACCGAGGGCAGTGTCTCGGCCAAACTTAGCAGAAATTCCGTTAAGTGACAGCTTACCTGAGGCGCGGAACAGTCGTCTGCCACAGCAGTTACTGAGCACACCACGTGCAGTGCACAACAACACATTCACTCGCACCATCTTGAATCGAGGTTGCTCCCAAAGTGATTGCCACCAAGAAGAGTATGAAAGTAAGCGCAAAGACTGAAGGCTGGAGACTGCGACCCTGTGCATCAGACAAGCTTCAGTCCTGACAGGAGTGAAACTTTAAGAAGGCCGCTTAGGGCATCAAGTTTTTTTTTGCCGACCAGGCGAACTGGACCTCGACCAGCTGATTGGCCAAGTTGCATCCGTGCCGGTTGCCTCTTTCAAAGGCGGGCATCGGTCTGTGCTGGTCGCAAGCTAGGCCCTAAGGTTCTCTTCAGGATCTTCAGAAGATACTCTGCAGCTGCTGTATCACATCCTGCACAAAGCAGCGCTGTTGTGGAACGGAAGAAGTGGCTGCAACGCCAACTGTGTTCTTCAAGCTAGGGGCTCGATGTCTGAACGGTCCAGTCGTCAGCCCAACTGTTTGCCAGAGCTACGAAAAAGTTTAGATGGAACCGTCGTGGCATTCTTTCATGGTTTGGTAAGCCGCGACTTGAAGGGGGTTCATGCGGGGAGGGAGGGTTGGGAGGGTGGGGAATGAGCTAAGTGACTCTTGATCCGGCAATGCCGGAGGCCCCGAGGCTGTAGGAACCCTGGCGTTCTCAGGCAACAGGCCTTGTGAGCCGTTGAGAGCACTGATGGGCCCTTGTGATTGTGAAGCTGCCAGCTGCTTCTGGGCTTTCACTCTGGAGGAGGCCGCGGTTCACTGCCGCCCTGTCCCGGAGCCCAATTGAAAGTTGCAGGCAGGGCAGGAAGGAATTGAGATGTTTTCAGAGCGCTAAGACCGCAACCACTGGCACAGTTTGGCACATGTTCTTGGGTCTCTTTGCTTGCTTCGTGACTTGTCATGTTGTGAGGGTTTTCTGGAGGTCCGGAAGAAGAAGCGACGGGCAAGAGCCTGGGCCGCTATGCGACGCCTTCGTGTGGAGTCACCAAGACCAAAAGTCGCCTGGTACGAGTTGGTGGGTAGTTTTTTGGGTGTTGCAAGGATATCTTGATCTTTGAATGCTACGCTAGGCCGTGAGATGTTGCAGCGTGTTACAGCACTTCCATGCTGAGCTGGCTTGGGATGCAATCTTCGGGAGTGCCAAGGTACGGGAGCACACACGCCGCGGCGACACTCTGAAATCCACATCCCAGGCAGCGCGACCCGTTTCATGGCGCCCTGCTGCCCCCCATGCATTGAGGGAAGCACTGCACTGCATGTCCCCTCGCTGCTCACGTACATGCATTTTACATCTCCAGCGTTAGGTCAGTCCGCCCTTCACTTGCAATGCAAGTGCCGATCCGCACAGTTTGAAATTTAGAAGTTAGACATAGGTGTGCAGGGTCCGGCTGAGCCAGAGCAGGCAAGAGATTGGCAGACTTGAAAGGCATAAGAAGAGGGGGTCATGTTGATCCGCATTGAGCTGGGAGCCCCCGGAAAGCAAAAAGCGACAGCAAGTGCACGGGTAGCTCCACATTTCCGTACCAGAAACTTCAAGCTACCGCACTGAGGCCATTCGGACACACATGACAGAGGTGTTGGAACACGGTGTTGGTATTGTGAGGCCATGAATTCCGGCATGCTCTTCCTCCACATCGCTGCCAGCATTTGCCAGCACGGGTAGAGTCTCGGTAGAGCCTAGCGGGCCTAGCAGTCGCAAGGGTCACCGGAGAGAAGTTCAATCTGTGCAAAAAAGGCCTTCATTGGGATTCAGGCCTGCCTAGGTGCTCGCACAAGAGCATTGGCCCCCAAGGAAAAAGGAAAGCAAAGCAGCAATGGACCGTGGACCACATGAGTTCAAAACAGTAAGAGCATCTATCCTGGTCTGCGGGGGGCCTCTCCCTCTCAACGGGAGCCGAGCTGATCTTTATGATCCCCAAGAAACAGCACTACACACCTGTTTTCCAGACGTTTACTCTCAGTCCTACGCAGTCTTGGAAGCTTGCCTGCGCTTAGTCTCTTTCAACATTTTGCATCCACTCACAGGCTTTGCCTCACAGCGCAGGTCGCAAAATGCCGCACATGCGCCAATGAAACGATGTAATGAAGGACTGTGCACCGATAAGAGCGGGCGATCCATCTTAACTACTTTGGTTTTTGTTGAAAGGCGATTTCGACCTGTTGCCATCATTGCCCTTCTTCAGAATGGTGTCGCTAGTTGGCGTGGGGGCTGCTCGATGAAGGTCGCCACAGGAGGGTCACGGGCCTTCCATGTTGGGAACATCTGGTCGTCGGGCTAGGTCGGCCAGGTGCGCCTTATCCGGAGAAAGTGCGTGCGCAGCGCTAGGCATGATGTCTCCGGCGCCGCCCTCTTCACCACATAGTTTCTCGCCTGCAAGAGGATGTGGGCATTCTGAGTAAATGAAATACACCTGTGGCTTCCGAGCAAGCGATGATGCGCAAGAGGTTAAGACGGTTGAGAGCGGGATAAGGGTGGCTAAATGCCCCCACTTGTTCCAGGTCAAGTAGGTCTGAACTGTCTCTCAAGCCCTCAAGCTCTCATACCCCTTAGGGTGGTTTCGGAGCTTTTATTTCTGCTTCAAAGACTTTTAGCAGGTGGGCGACCAAAACCGCCGAGCAAGCACCGGGCGCCAGAGTCTCAGAGAGTTCTCAGAAGCAGTCCACCTAGGCGGAGATGGAGCGTTTTGAAGACTCCACTGCAGGTCTACGACCCATGTGTCAGCAGAAGAAGTGAAAAACCTCGATACTCAGAAACTTGGGGTCATTCTTCGAAGAGGTGCTGGTGCAGGCCTGTGACCCTCCCTGATGAGATAACTTGCAATGTTATGTTATGATCTTCTAGTATCTTACAATTCATGTGCTTTGCGCCATCCGGTTCCACTGTAGGCTTTCTGTGTGATGTCATGGAAATTTGACTCTTGACAGAACTTCGGGATCCCGAATCTGTTGGTGGTCGCGATGACGATGACTCGGAGGATCAACAGCAGTGTTTCCTTTGCGAGCGCCAAATCTCTAACTTTTCCCGCACAAGCAACTTGCCGAAAGCGCCTTGCTATGCACTCTGCAGATATTGAGCGCAAGAATCACATGGAGGCAGACGCAAGGTGAGGTGATGGTAGCGCCAAAAGCTAATCCTTGTTTCCAATCGCGGACTCGTGACATTTGACGAGATGTGCAGCAGGACATCCACGAAATGCCGATGATCAAGTCGAAAACCGACCCAAGGCGCAAAGGTCAGTGGCGGGTCCTGAAGGATGCAAATTCTGAAGCAGCAGGTCAGCTCTTGATCCCGTCCAAAAGCCGACTGCAACGGCGCAGGCACCGAAGGTTTCAATTGTTTGTTAGCAGCGCCGTGTGGGAGTGGAAGTAGAGTGGTAGAGGTGTGTTCAGCAGTGTTTCACAAACATGTGATGTACAGATTCTACATATTTTTCAGCCTGCTCTCTATCCAAGTTTCAGTATCAGGTCCAGAAGCTTCCGAGCCAGCAGGAGGAGTTGGTTTCGAGGCTTTTCCTCTCCGACACCGAAAGGATCCAGCGCACAAAGGCATCGTGCTGACCTTGCCAGCAGTGCCGGGCGCAAATGAAGCATTGCTCAGGCTGGCGCCACTTCAAATGAAGGTGAATTGCCAGAAGGTCTGGTGCCATGTATTCATGAAACTTCCCGTGAACGCAGTGCATTGCAGTGCCAGACATCTTCAGCTGGATGCCTGCACACGGGTCGAGGCCTCTCTTCCCAAAGGAAGAAGAAGCTTGATGGCCGACGCCGGTCGAGAGAATTGCAGGCACCGCGCCTTCCTTGCCCCCCTTGCGCATGGCTCGCAGACATAGCTGGTCTGGGTGATTTTCGTTGCAAATATCGCTGCCGAGGCCATGATCGATTCAGTGGAGAATGAAGATGCTGAAACAAACATCCAAGTGGACGAAAAGAAACTGGAGCAGGATGTCGGGTGCTTTGCCTTGCCACCTATTTGCCTTGTTAGATGCCCGTTGATGCTTTGTGCTATTCAGCACTCAGCACCGCGTGTTCGCATGTTGTGGAAAGTTATGGTACTGCTATGCTGCTTCTTCAGCTGGCTTTGTCGACACAAACGTGGATCGGGGTTCTTTGTTTGCCCTTCCGCTGTTTGTGCTTCCGGGTGTTTTTGCTTTTGCTTTGGGGTGCCGTAAGAGATCGTAAGAGGAAACCCCTCAAAAGCCACCGCCATCAGAATGCAGGACGAGGTTTTGTGCCCCCCACCCGACAACCCTCACCCACCCACCACCAGCATCCCACCTCGTACATGCTGGCTTCAAGAAGATGCTTGCAAGCAGAGGGAGGCTGCTGCCCCTTGCTCCCCTCCCACGTTTTTGGTTAGTGGCATTTTCAGCTGCTACTGACTGCTGCAATTCGCAGTGTTCGGAGACCCCAACGCCTGGAAATGCTATGAACTGCATGTTTTGACAACATCCAAACACCCAGAAACGCGGTAGGTTACCGTAATTGAAGTTGTTGAGTGGCGGCATGAGGAAAACCAACCCAAGATTGGAGACCTGTAGGCAGTGACAGGAATTTGTGCTTGCATCTCTTGGGGCAGCATGCTGAACCTCCTGCAACAAAGCCCTGCACCAAGCACCTCTTGCTGTTGCCCCGAGGTTTTGCTCCTGAGTGACGAGCAGAGCAAGGAAGACGAGTACTGGAGCACCATGTGGCAGATGACGAAAGACGCGCCCAGTGCTGAGCTTCTGAAGCATGAAGTTGTGCCGCCAAGGTCGGACCAGCGGATTGCCGGGATTGTTGGAGTTTAGAGAAACGTGGCATGTTTTTAAGTGCTTTAAGTAAGTATTGCGCACCCTGTGGCCATTGCAAGGATGAGGGCCTCAGAAGCGCCACAAGAGGCCAGCCCCCGCACCCGCAGGGCACACAAATGCGCACGTTTGAGCCGAGAAGGTGCCTGGACTCGATGTTGCCGAACCTGGTCTAGATGCCCTTGGGCGACTTGTTGGCACTCCCACTCCAGGTTTTTTTTAAGCGTCTTGGGCTCCTTCGCTGCTGTGTCTGAAAAAGAATTGCATGTCACACTTTCTATGGCGGGGTTCGCAACCAAGGCTATAAAGTCTCCATTCTTTGGCTTCTCAGGTGGGCAGGCTCGTTTGTAAACTGGCGGTTGATCACCAGGATTCATGCCATCCAAGTACTGGCTCAGTCCCACCATTGCCAGCTAGTCGCACATGGAAGCGGCACGCCCATTACTGTAAGAAAGATATTTGGCCGGATGGCAGACCAAAATGGGATCCTGTTGGCTGCGGCAAGGAGAAAAAAATCAAAAATGGTACATGCTCGAGGCTGACTGCCTCAAGAGGGTTGAAACCCTCCCAACACTGATGGCTGCATCAATATTGAGCAAAGTTGAGTGCGCGCAGAGCAGGCGCTGCCGCAGAATCTAGAAATTCGCCACTTATCTAGATTTATCTAGGCCCATTCCAAACCCGCCCCACACGACGGCAGTGCCCCCATGTGCTTCTTGTATCTTTGTGCTGACGACCCGAAGCTGGAAGAGCTTGAAGCGTTGCCTTGGTAGCGATCAGTGTAGGCGCTGCTTGGGAGTCTCACTGTCTGGGAGCTTGAAGTCCGGGTAGCCTGTCCCAACATGCCTCTTCTCTGCGCCAGGTCGGCGCTCCTTCACTGTTCCTACGGCCCAGACGTGGCCTGCAGTTGAGAAAGCGTGCCAAGCAGCTATGTCTATGTATAACAAGCCCTTCCAAGAAGGGCTGTGTCTTTCCCTGCGTTTTGTCTCATTTCCCGGGTTGCAACATCCTACAAGGACTTTCCCATCAACGCTACATGGACTCCACATTTATGCACAATGTAGTGGAAGGTCCTTGAGATCCCTGCTGCACGGCTTTTACAAAGCAAAAAGGTACAAAAGCCCACCAGTGCGGTGGCCGGTAGCATGAGGCTACTAAGACACGTACCAGACGGTCAGGTCAGCTCCAAGTTTTTCCTGTACTGGAGACCCGCTGACCACAGCACAATAGAATGCAAGAAAGGAATGAAGAGTTCTTTGCTGCTCAGCCTGAATAGGCATTTTCGCTCGTCACAGCGTCGCCAGGGCCCGCACATCCCTGCGCTACGCTAGACAGCATGCAGGACAGCTCTCCGGCAGCGGTGGTGTCCTGAGCAAGTTTGGGCAGATACAGTGTGCGTGGTGTTACACGACACTCAGTATCAGCCTCTGGTTAAAAAGTTAGCCTCAGCTCCTGATCTTTGAGCCGAAGACATCACGAGAGTGGAAGAGCATGGAGCAGTTTGTGCCTTCACTTTCGTGGTGACGCTCGCCTGTTTTAGCCACAAGTGGGGCACCAATTCCTATCCTGCCGTGCTGCAGATCCAATCATTCTGCCGTGTGCCCAATCCGAGTTTTAGCAGTACTGCTTGTATTGCAGCAAGTCATGCAGCTGCCTCACCTTCTGAGGCCTTGCTAACATGTCAGCACCAGAGGAGGAGGAGGACCTACTGCTTTTGTGTTGGCCATTGTTGCGCCGGTTTTCGGTCCTAAGGCTGAGTGGGTTTTTTTGGTGCATGTACGACAACTACCTTCATCCCGTAGGCCTAAGACCTCTTGCAGGTGATGCTTAGTTAGGATGTTGCCACAAGCGGACTGAATGGCCATGGCAGCTGTCATGGGACCAAGGTCCGAATTATGAAGAAAAATGCAGCCAACCTGTAAGAGCCAAGCACCGAAAAGGAGATATTTGGATTGCAAGCGTTCAGTCGTAAGGGCAAACCATAAACCCTGAAGGCCCCAAAGAGAGATAACCCGGCAAGACCAAAACCCGAAAAGGAGGCGGTGGCAAACCGCAAACCTCAAAAGGAGATGTCGGGTGGCAAACTCTAAGCCCTAAGGGTAGATGTTGCGTGTCAAGGCCTCAACCCTAAAAGCAGATTGCTCTAGGGCAGCCCTAAAGTTTGAAAATGGAGGCCCTGTCGGGTGGCAAGCTCTGACGCCTCAAAGCCAATGTTGGGCAGGGAGACCCTGCACCCTGGCTCGAGATGCTGCGTGGGCTGTTGCCCTGAAAGGAAAGGTGGTGGGAAGGCCTGCAAGGGATGCGGCAAAGCCCAAAATCCCGGGAAGTGTGGCATAAATCCCTAAAGAGATGTTGCAAACACCAAATCCGTGTCAAACCCAAAGCCCTAAAAGGAGAAGAGACCTGTGGGAAACCCAAGACCCTACACGAACATGTTGGGTGACATGAAAGGACCTGTTTCGGGTGCTGCTTATGTGTACAGCAATATGGTTTCAAGCCCACAAGGTTGTTGCAAACCTCTCTGGAGACACCAGACGTTTTCAGTAGGAAAAGCAAGTTACAACTACGTGCCTTGAGTGGAGAAAAGAGTTGCAACTAAGTTGGGTGCAGTAAGAAGAAGCAGGGAGGTTTTGAATGCATTCCGTGAAACCGAATAACGCATTTAGATGCTATGCTGACTGCATCTACCTTTGTTGCGCTGAACGCTCCTTGTTGTCCAGAAAAGAATCTGTTCCTGCCCTTGATGTAGGCGTTGGATGGCTGCACATGTTTTCCTGCAAGCCTGTTGTTGGCGAACATGTTGCTTGCGAAGCGAGGGGAATATGTTAATTAAAGGAAACATGGCAGAGCACTTGGTGAGGTGGCACTTGGGGGGTGGGGTGCGCCCCATCCCTACTGTACGGCCAAGCCAAGCCACATTTCTACGGGCCGGGCACGTTTGCATCAAGCACCAGCCCCGCCTCAGCCAACCCAAGCCATGTGTTGTATGTTGAAGCACTACAGGCCGTAAACCCTGAACTCCACGCCCTGAACCCCAAACCCTAAACCCTAACCCTCCCCTTCGCTTCACAAGCAAAAGCCCAGCCGCAATCAGAAGCATCTGTTGTTTCAATGAGGAGATCCAAGTTCTAGGGTTTTAGGGTTTTGGGGTTCTAGGGTCTTAGGGTTCTAGGGACCTAGAGGTTTAGGGTCTCATAGGGTTTGGGGTCGTCCTCAAACAACAGCTTGCCCTAGAACCCCCCAAACACACAACCACAACTCCACAGAACTCATTCAGCATAAGAAACACACCCTCTGCATGACTGGAACGGGAAGGGCATAACAAAAAGCATCGTGGAGCATAAACGGAAAACACCGATAGTTCCTTTGCGCAGTCTGATTTGCTGTACTTGTTTTGCTGTATTTCGTGCATCCGAACGTGCATAAGCATTTGTTCGCGGGAGAAGAACTGGGCAACCTGTCTCACAAGCCTGCCGCAAGCGCGTCCCTCTCTGTCTGTGTCTGTCTCTGTGTGTGTGTGTGTGTGTGCGTACGTGCGTGTGTGCGTGTGGGTGTGGGTGTGGGTGTGTGCGCGTGGGATAAATGCTTCTCATGCTTATGGGTTCTGACGGTGTACATTGGTTTTAGACTACCCACATGCCACGGCAGCCTATTGAGGAAGTCGCCCCAGACATGGAGGAGGAGGCGTTGAACACAACAGCACGACAGCTGTGCTCCCGCAATGTGCAAGTTGCACTCAGGATATGGATCAGGAGGCCGACCAAGAAGAGCCTGAAGAAGAGCACGAAGACGAAGAAGATCCTAGTGGCAGGGCGGAGGACGGGGCACCTTGAGATTACTGGTAAATGATAGCAGCAGCGGCGGCGGCAGCAGCGGCAGCAGCGGCGGCGGCGGCAGCAGCAGCAGCAGCAGCAGCAGCAGCAGCAGCAGCAGCAGCAGCAAAAGCAAAAATAGCAGCAACAACAACCGCAACACCTGTACTCTGCCCATGCTGTTCTGTTGTGCAGGCTGCGCCCAAGTCTTCCGGGCGCAAGGCCCGGGGCAAGAGCAAAGCGAAGCCGATCAAGAAAGATGCCTCCAAGGGCAAGAAGGCCAGGCAGAGCAGGAGAAGGAGGCTTAATCAAGATGCCTCTTCTGACTTCTCACACGCTTACATCTTTCTCGAGTGCGGATCGTGCCGAGGCACCTGTCCGGACAGAGTACAAAGCGGGCATTTGCTTTCCTGGCATTTTATGAGCTGTCATGCAGTGAGGTCACGCTCAGTTCATGGACATCATATATGATTCCTCAACCTTCCCGCGGCTGGGGTTCATTGTCATGTGTTGCCGTTGCCAGGCTTTCCCGTTGCCAAAGTCAGAAATCTGCTCAAGGAGAGTGGATACGGTCGTTCCTAAGTGGCACTATGGGGGAAGGCACGTCCATACAGCTGGTTAATGTGCACTCCCTCAAGAAGCGGTCCTCAGTCCTCACAGAATTTTGCTGATGTTTGACCCTCAGTAGTGGTAAGCAAAGTCACGCCGGATATTTCTTGGATTCATGCTTCCAAGGTGTTTCACAAGATGCGTCGGCCGCTTACACTGGCGGACCCAAACTCTTCATGACCTTCATGTGCTCACGCATTTGCCCGCGCACGTACAGACGCTCGCTTCAGCTGGACTGCAGGTCAATTTACCTCACAGGCGTCATGGAGTACGTCGTTGCAGAGATCCTGGAGCTGGCAGGCAACTCCGCCAAGGCCTGCAGCTGTCTGAAGTGCTTGAGTTGGTTTCAGCCTTTCCACGGCCTCCCTGACGGCTGATTCTCGGGCTGTGAGGAGCAGAAGAAGCAACGCATCCTACCGCGCAACATCCAGCTGGCGATCCGCAATGATGAGGCAGCACGGCACGAGACAAGCACAGCAGCCGCATGCATATGCATTCGTCTTTCGGAAGCCTCGAGCACGGTGCCAGGAGTTGAACAAGTACATGGCCAATGTGACCATCAAATCTGGTGGAGTTGGTGCCTCAAGTGCCTTGGAGAGATGCCCTTGGACAGAGGACCCAGGGTTGCCTTCTGGACCAGGTCATCCCCAACATCCACACCGTGCTCATGCCTCAAAAGACAAGTGCCAAAGGCCGATCGCAGAGTCCAGCCTGCATCGCTTGCACTTTTGGGGCGAAGTATGTTTGTAGCGTCATAGGGCACCTGTCAAATACCCTTCTGGGCAGGCGTCAGCGCAGGCTCCCACTCCCAGGAGTACTGAAGACCGCTAGTGCGCTCGGCCTGCTTCAGAGACTGCTTCGAGTTAGCTCTACACTGTGCACATTACGTCCCAGCCAGACACTAATCAGCTTCAAACAGAGAGCATGAATCAGATTCTCGTGAGATCGCGTGAGCATATTGCAGGTGTGGGACAGTGTGACTGTCAGCTGCGCCGCTTGGGGTTCGTATGCGCGTTCACAGTGCGGAGAGCTTATGCCAGAATGCATGCTATGACTGAGAGATTTTTGCATGACAAGGCAGGCGCAATGCTAAGAACGTAAAGAAACACGGTCTCCACATGTGGCCCCGCAAGCATTGCACTACAAACCTCAGGCACTGCGCTTCATGAGCGGGAGATCAGGTTCTTGTAGCAAGGCCCCTCCATCTTGCTGCGCTTGCTGGAGCATGAAAGCTGTCAGCCTGCCGTTCCGAGTGTGCCTGAATTAATCGGGCCCCTCAGGGCCCCTCAGTCCACGAACACAGCAAAAAAACATGCAAAAGAGCAATGTGTTGTAAAGTACGGTATGCTAGATTGAACGTGCTTTCCATCTGCTGGCCCACTTAAGACTGATCGTGCGGTGGATCTATCCTGGCAGTGTTTTTCACCTCTCAGCGCAAGACAGTGCGGCCTTGAGCAGTGACGGAGTAAAGCTCCACAATGCCAGAAAGGATGTGGCCATGTGCTTGCAGTGCAGACAGTTCAATCGTTGTCGGGGAATGTGGCTGAGGTGTCTGTGATAGCTATGCCAGAAAAGTCTTCTCTCTTCGCTAAAGCGAGCTTACTGCTCCACAGCTTAGAACCGGACTGAACATGTTGACAGTAGGGCGATGCTGTATACTCTGTAGATGATGATCAGCAGGAGTTTTCGTGAACACCTTCAAGGTAGACCAGGATAGTTTGAACAACAGTGGACCGTGGACCAATCCAGTTTTGTTGCATGCCATGCGCAGACCAGCTACCTCGATTTGGAGGTCCTGCGTGCAGCGGCGTTGCGGTACCAATTTTGTTGCGGGGCTGAGGAGTCAGCTTGCTGTCCGCTGCTTTTCCACGGACCAGCTATGGAGAGGTGTTCGCTCTACCAGCTTCAGCAAGAACCTGGATTTCAAAGACGGGTCTGAAAGCACCTTTCCTGTATTTCGAGTTCTCAATCCCGCGGGAGAACTAGATCCAGGAGTTGAGCTTCCGTTCTCCTTGGAAGAGGGGGTTGAAATGATGCGGATGATGATCAAGTCCAAGGTCTATGATGATGTGTTGATGACCATGCAGCGACAAGGGCGGATAAGCTTCTACTGCACAAACTATGGAGAAGAAGCAACCAGTGTGGGCACGGCCGCGGCTCTGAAGCCTCAGGACATGATTTGGCCTCAGTATCGGGAGCTCGGTGCCTTCTTGTGGAGAGGTTTGACAGCACAGGAGATTGCCGACCAGAACATTGGCAACGAGGGTGATCGGAGCAAGGGACGGAACCTGCAGGTGCACTACTGCATGCTGGAGAAGAACATGCAGACTGTGCATGCTGTCTTAGGCACTCAAATCCCGCAGGCCCCAGGTGCAGGCTATGCTTATAAACTGGGTAAGGAGGATCGAGTGTCCGTTGCCTATTTCGGTGACGGAGCAGCATCTGAGGGGGATGCGTTTACTGGTCTGAACTTTGCTTCCGTATATGGTGCGCAGACGCTCTTTATCTGCCGAAACAATGGCTACTCCATCTCCACGGGGGTCGAGGACCAGTACAAAGGAGATGGTATCGCTGCCCGTGGACCAGCTCTGGCCATACCCACCGTCCGAATCGACGGGAACGACTTGGTGGCTGTGTACATTGCTACTGAAGCAGCCCGGAAGAAATGCGTGGAGGAGAAAACACCCATACTTCTAGAGCTCATGACCTACCGGGTCGGTGACCACACCACCTCGGATGATTCATCGGCGTACCGAAAAGAGGATCAGGATGAGGTCAAGAAGTTGGCAGGCATTGGGCCGCTGCCCCGTTGGAAGAAGTTTCTGGAATCCAAGGGTGTATGGGATGACGAGAAGTCGAAAGCCACAGAAGCAGCGGCACGGGAGGAGATGCTCCAGGCAATGAAAGCAGGAGAGGCAAAGAAGAGACCGCCACTGCGGGAGTTGTTCACTGATGTTTTCAGCGACCTGCCCTGGCATTTGGAAGAACAGGCAGCCTATGCTGAAAAGCACTGTCGTGAATACAGCAGTGAGTTCAACATGCATGCTTTCAGAGGGCTTGATGGCCCTGCGCCTGCCGTTGATCCAAAGCGAACTGCCTCTGCTCCCCGAGTTCTGCCCCCTAGTCCTCGAGGCGAGACGAAAGAGACGACCATGGTTCAGGCAATCAACGATGCATTGTCCATCGCTCTGAGCTCAGACAAAAATGCCGTACTGTTTGGTGAAGATGTGGCCTTCGGCGGGGTCTTCCGTGCCTCCGTCGGGCTGAGAGACAAGTTTGGCGAAGACCGAGTTCTCAACGCACCAGTGGCTGAGCAAGCCATTGCCGCTTTCGCGGTCGGTCTCTCCGTGGCAGGGTACAAGGCAATTGCAGAGATTCAGTTCGCCGATTACATCTTCCCTGCCTTTGACCAAATCGTCAATGAAATTGCAAAGTCCGGCCCCAAGAGTTGAACCCTGAAATGTCACGCTTAATTAGCTTGCACGTTGAATGCCGTGAAGTTGCTTTCTTGCGAGGACGAGCAACATGTCTTTAGTCACGAGATGGCTGAGGTATCGATACCGCAATGCTGGCGGCGGTTGCGGAAACATTACTATTCGGGCCCCATGCTCTGCAGTGGGACATGGAAGTATGTACCACAGCCAGAGTGTCGACGGCTTAGCTTCGGATGCACTTCTGGGTATGATGCACAGCATTGACCTGTTGGGGCAGTTGCGAAAAGCTCAGGTCGAGTCTTATTTTGCCCACTGCCCGGGCTTGAAGATCGTGATCCCGAGAGGGCCGAAGCAGGCCAAAGGATTGCTGCTTGCGGCTATTCGAGATCCTGACCCTGACACTTGCCTGAACTATCACACCTTGTGGTGCAGTTGTGGTGCAGATGGTTCCAGAATCGGATCACAGTCCTGACATCTTTCCATTCCAGGTCTTGTTCTTCGAGCCGAAGGTCCTTTATCGAGCGCGGATTCAAGGAGATCCCGTTCAAGGGTTGCTGAATGTTACTGGGTAGCGTTTAGGACGACCGCCGTCTCGCTTCACTCATCAAGCTGTACCACTGACCTGACATCGTGACATCGTCCTAAAAAGCTCGAGCTGGGAGTGTTCCTCTGAATTGCAGGCTGCACGTGACGTTTTGGGCCCCTTCGTTGCATTTCTATGGCGATGAAGGACCTGATGGCCAAGTGCCCGTCGAGGACTACGAGCTCCCCATTGGACAAGCCGAAGTAGTGCAGGAAGGAACTGATGTTGCTTTGCTGCACTTGATGCTGCGCCTGCTTCAAGCAGCATTTGCTGTGTGTGTTGTAATGTTCAGCATTGCAGGTATTGGTCGTCCGCTTCTCTCTGCATCAGATAGCTTTGCTTTGTCAGGTGACTCTTGTCGGATGGGGGTCGCAGATTGGCCGGCTGCAGGCGATCCTGTGCGGAAATGCTTATGATAGCCGCATTGACGTATGAAGCAGCGCGGTTCAAAAACAACAAGAAGCTGCAGCACCTGTTGCTTTCATCAGCAATGCCCAAGAAGCACATATACGTGCACGTATATGTCTTGCGTGCGTGCGTGTGTGGTGCACAGTGCAGGCAGCGGCTGCCACGGCCGCCAAAGAAGGGATTTCCTGCGAGGCCCTCCCCGGAGTTTGCATAGAAGCTTTAAGTTCCAGTGATGTTTGATGCTGGGCTCAGTTGAAACTTGGGTGTGTGAGACCGATAGTGCGACGTCTAGTTGACGAAGCGCGAGGTGGTTGACTTGCAGACCATCATCCCATGGGATGTGGACACGGTGCAGGCTTCGCCTCTCCGTCTTGCAAGACATTCTAGAACGGAGATGGCGCAGTTGCAGATCTAGATACATCTCGACAAATCTGATATTGCTTGTTTCGACACTGATGTCTAATAAGTGACGAGTAAGAGTCGACAGGAGCTTTCCCAGTTCACCGCTAAATTAGCATGAAGATACGGCACAGTACCCGCTGCCTGGAGTGGTGATGGACAGTGCTGCAGGCACCGTTGTTACAGCGATCGATGTTTTGTTCCATGGGTTGTCCCGCTCCTCCGGATGCGCCAGTCAAATCCTGCCTTCCTAGTTTTTGTGTGTGTGTGTGTGTGTGTCTCCGTGTGTGTTGCTACTGTATGTGTCGGTCTCTTCTGTGTTCGAGGCTTTCAGCAGCTACGGTCTGTCTGCTGTCGTCGCACAGCCGAAACGAGGTTCTGCAGAAACCGAACTCTTGTCTGCCAGGCCTCCGTGCAGAAGACCGGGCGTTTGATAGTCGCCCATGAGGTGATGGGCTGGGCTGTGCTGTCATTGACCCGCTACTCTGCTGGGAGCGTTGTTTTTCTCAGAGTGCTTGTGTCCTGCTGCGTCCAGGCCCCTCAAACAAACGGCTTCGGTGCAGAGATTGCGGCCAAAATCCAGGAAAGGATTCAAGGGGACAGGCATGAGGCATGCTTCTACGAAGTTTGTCCAAGTTCAGGATGTGCTGAGTATGGGTTGGAAGTTGTCTCTGATCATTGTGGCATTCTCTGTTTTCCAAATTTTCTCCCAAGAGCCGGTGTTGGGCCTCTTGGCGTGGAAGGGCGTGGCGTGGGGAGGAAAAGGGAAGCCGCCGTGGCCCAGCCTGCCCTTCCGCCGAATAGGAGAAACGACGAGTCCTGATGCTCATCACCCCTAAAGTTAGGATGTTGCTATATGCTTGCTCTAATTCTTGCAGGTGCCTTGGATGACAGCCTTTCGTGCCGCTGCTGCCGCAGGGTTTCAATTTGCCGGTGTTTTGGCCGGTGATGCTCTGCAAAAGATCGATTACGTCGCCTTGTTTGGTCCAGTGCAGAGCCTCAAACATCCAGCTCTTTCGAGCTGTTCTTCGATCGCCCAAGTTGGATTTAACCTTGCTTCTGGGTAGGGTTCTAGATGGGTTCGAGAATGCATTGAATTCCGAAACCCAGTATTTTCGGCATACTGCGTTAGGTCTCGTGTGAATTTTGCTGGTGTTTTGTGCTATGTTGCAAAGTAGTTTGGCGGCCGGGGCGTCACGTTGGTGATTGGCTTTGCATGGGTTGCCTTTTGTAGGGCCGTCTACTGGGCTGAGCTGCCGCAGATTTCCTGGTGAATCCCTGTTGCAACCCTTCACGGCGAAAGCAGGGAAACTGCCACTAAGGAAACACACAATAGATTGTACGCCTCAATACCTATGAACCATATGGGTCCCGATGATCGTCACAAGCTTCACAGAACAGGCGTAAAGAGGTGTTGGCTGCAAGGACGAATCATGCAGAGAAGATGTTTGATATTTTGGGAGTCGGGCAGGAGCGCTGCTTTCTTCACCTGCAGAGCCCAATCCAGAGAGTGTGCGGCGCAGCGCTGAGCTGGTATCCCCGAACAGTCTGACCATGTTTCGTCGAGAAGTCTATACTGAAAGTGGCATGGACAAGCTGCAGGTTTTGACACCCACTTTCCCTACGCCTGGGAGGTGCTGCTTGCACAAGCTTGTGGGGACAAACCTCTTGACAGCCCGTAAGAATGATGCCAGTTGACAATTGCTGTAACGTTTGCCGACTTGCTCGTTCATAGCAGGGAATTAGGATAGATTGTACAGGCCCTCGGTTCCAAACTCATGTCAGTAAGCAGACAGATGACGCTACTTGGACTCTATGATGTAAGCTCTGGGCATTTCAGGAGTTCTACGTGCCGTCTGCTTCAAGGGTCCTGGCTGCCATCAAGGCCAGACATATTTGGAGTCTCTGTTCGATCCTGCTGGGATGGCTGGGGGAACTTGGGATTCTGTTCATGACAGTTTTTTATGCGTGAAACTTTGACCGCGGGGGCTTGGAATGCGTTGACGAGCTTCTCAGCGCACAAGTTGAGCCGCTTGTGTGCCAGTGGCCAGGCGCATTCCGAGCTTGGAGTATTCAACACAAGCAGCCCACATTTTCTGTGTGTAGACTTTGTTGGGAGGCCAGCGTTTCCTTCTGAAGCTACAATTCTCCGAGGCTTGGATCTGAGCTTGACGTCGCATTTTCAGCTATGTTGGGCATGCTGCGGCATGTTTCGATTGCGTTTCGTGCGCGAATGCCTGTGAGTTGGATGCATATACTCAGGCGACTACCGGCCGCCACCGGCTCACTTTCTGGGCTTCAGCGAGACAACGGAAAGGAGCCGGAAAAGGAGTTGTGGCACACTGCAGCTTGCAGCGAGTTGCATTGCTTGGGGGAAATGGCTTGTTGGGGTCTCCAAACGTGAGTTGACTGTTTGCACAAACAGCCCAGATGGCTTTCGTTTCCGATTGCTGGCTGCAGCGAGACATTGTAATCAGATCACGGCCCCCTATTCCCTTTTCTGGCAGAGCAGCCATGATGGTATATCAGCAATCAGCGATGCTGCTCAGCTTGTACGAGTTGTTGTGCAAGCGGCTGTGCGGAGAAAGCATGCGGGCTTCGCAAGAAAGGTGCAGCTTCATTAGTTTGGGCTTGCAGCTTTGTGGCATTTTTGTGGCATGGACCCACTATGAGGAATCTGGACGAGCCGGCCACCCGAGCCGCGATGGTTTCTTTGGAGCCTCCAAAGCCCGACTCCTTCAATCGCAGCTTGTTAAAAATTCCGATGAGGACTCTTCTAAACCTCCGGTACATCTGAAGCCACTCAGCAGGGCTGCTGGTGAAATGTTCCAAACAGACGCTGCTCATGCCAGCTAGCTGCAGGCAAGTGCAAGATCATTTGCACGATGGGGCCATGCTGCTGGGAAGTGGACATGCTCACCAAACTCATTGAGCCCCGATGCACTGAAGAGTCGTCTCCATGTCAAGTTGGCCAGCAGATATGTATCCGCATCTTTGGGACATGTCAGCCTCGTGCCTCGTTCGTTGTTGCTGTAAAGGCTGTGGTATGTGCAGAAAGTGGCTTGAGAATGGTCAGACATGGCGAGACTTCTTTCCTGTTTGTTGGCCTTGCACTGGCAATGCTACTAGGCGCTTAGAAAAATCCCTCAGGATCAGGGCATGAACATTGCCCGCTTGAACTTCTCACACGGAGACCACGAGGCAAGCGCACCTCAACGGTTCTGTTTCTGTGTCGGAACGTTTCCCTCAACACAGGTGCCTTCAGCCGTAGAATAGTCTCATGTGTTGCACATGGCAAACAACTGCTGTGTCAATCTCATGTCTTGGGGTGTATTCTTGTCAGGGCCATGGCAAAACAGTCGCCAGGGTCCGCGAGGCACGAGCAGTGCTTCTGCACTGGTGATCACTTGCGAGTTTGATATTTCACCATGCCGGAATCACTTTTTTTTACAGATCGCAGTGCTGGAAGGCTTCCAAGCTACGGCCTGACAAGCCAGTGGGCATTCTACTGGATACCAAGGCCAGGGCGGCAAGATTTTTTGAGGATTTAGGCTTGGGTTTTCAGGATTTAGCGGGGTTTGGGGCTTCGTGTCTTGCAAAAGCAGCATCACTCAGCACCTACTGCAGCTGCGCAAACCAGGGACCTGAGATCCGCACGGGCTTCTTCAAGGACGGACATGCGTGGCTCGATGCTTCTTTATGCTTCTTTAAAGGTAGACCCCACGAAGTCCAAGCCGCAGCCGCTGACCCGAAGATGCCTTCATTAGTCATTTTCGCAGGAGGAGCTTGCCGGTGGAAAGATTAACCTCAAGGAAGGGCAGGAGCTGAAATTGGTGACGGACTACAGCTTCAAGGCCGAAGCGCATCTGATGATGTGGGATTTGGATGGATTTGGGATTGAGGAAATTGAGGGAGTTCATTTTTAAGTCAGTTAAAGAAGAATATGCAAGCAACCACAGCAAGAAGCCAACAGGAAGTGCAAGGTGACTTTTTCTATGCAGGGAGGGCAACGCACATCCGTCAGGTCAACAAATCCAAACCTCATGCAATTCATCATAGTCATAAATAGTGCCTTTCTTTCATCTTGGAACCAAGACTCAACTGGATGCCCTCCCTGCCACCTTCCTTCAGTGTCCAGAGATCGCCGTGGCAGTTAAACGAGGTAGGCGAGTGCTACAGCAGTAGTTTTTAGTTTTTCGACGGCACCATGCCCTCAGGGCGATGACAAGACGCTGGCCGTGTCGTATGCAACACTCCCAACGGCTGTGAAGCCAGGCCGAGATTTAGGGTCGAAAGCAGCATATCTCACATAGGGTGCAACGTGTCAAAGCACCACAAGGGTCAAGAGGCGTTCGCAGTGGCATGTGTGAGATGTCTGAAGTGCCTGCAGGACAGACCATCCTCGCTGCGGATGGCTCTCTTTCCTTGAAAGTCAAGAGCTGCGGCAGTGACCACGTGATCACTGAGGCGCGGCGGCACAGTTCGGCACACATCAGCGATGTAGATCCGTATTTCAGGGCTTGGCTAGAGCCTAGAGCCGAATCGCAGAGTCTCGCGGAGCCTCGCCTTGTCCTGAGCTGGGATGAGTTTGTGTTTCCTTCGACCCGGAAGCCTGGGAGGTGATGAATGACATTTCCGTTGGCGAGAAGAAAAACATGAACCTTCCGGGAGTGAAGGTTGACCTACCGGTGCTTCAGGCCAGGACTTCGGACCTCACTGATCATGAGCAAGTTCTCGGAAGTGCACCCATTTTGCTGTTCAAGCTTGTCACTGAAGGAGAAAGACAAGAAGGACCTGCTTGAGTTCGGCATTCCGCAGGCAGGAGAAAAGTCAACAAGTCAACTTGCGCGCTCAGAGGGCACCTTTCTATGCACATTTCTGAGGGTGTGGACTTCATTGCGGCGAGCTTTGTCCAGGTGCCTCCACTTCGACAGTGATGAACATTGTAAGTTGTCATTGACCGTTTGCAGCGGAGCATACTTGACGAAGCTGTGCACTAGAACGCCGGGCAGCAGCCTCGCACCCCGCCCTCATTGATTCTACGGCTTGTAGGGTAGCTGCATATCCGGCATGAGAACTTAATCTACTCGGCAGCTCATGGCACTGTGAGATCCTCTGTGAACAAGTTGGCAGCTGATCAACGCCAAGCTTTGATGCTTCTATCCATCACCCAACGGACAACCGCCTAACAAGCACGTGAGGGACGGGACGGCTCACCGTGAATGCGGGTCAGAACTCATCCATCACCTCACTTCCGTTGACATCTCTCCAATGACCATCATCACTTGCTTGAGATTCCCCAAAACTCTGCTGAAAGAGCTCTGCTGAAAGCTCTGCTGAGACTGCACGGCTTGAGAGGTCTTCAGAGCACAGGGGAGAACAGGGATCCCGCACTAAGTACTGCTCGACTTAGAGGAGGCGTGTGGTGAGTGCAGTCAGATGATGACGTCGGTTATTCGCCTTCTTCACGACAAGTTCTCATGCCGAGCAGCTAGCAGCAGCAAGCTTGAGACATACGGACCTGAGGAAGCTAGAAGGGAAGAACATCGAACACATTCAAGAGCAGAACTAAGAATTAACAGCTCTTGTCGGAGTCCGTGATGGGGTGTGCCTGGCAGTGTAAATCCTCAGGATGCAAAGGACTTGAAGCTGATCCGAGACACCTTGGGAATGCGGGGTCGCTCCATGAAGATCATTTCGACCCTCGGCCTGGGTACTTCCTCTGGCGTATTTCTATGTCTGTATGTAAGAGGATATATATTCATATATATATATATATACATAAGTTTTTTCAAACACACACAGAGAGAGAGATATATATATATATATGTATGTATATATTGTCACATATACTATATACATATAGCTACACCTATATAATATATATATATATATATGTATGTACTTGTAGCTGTAGAGGAGCCGGTCTCGGACCCAGATCTTGTCCAGCCTCCCGCCATCTGCCAACGTCCTCAGGAAGATCGAGAACCAGGAAGGTATCAACAACATCGACGAGATTGTCGCAGCGACTGATGGAGTCATGGTTGCCCGCCGAGCCCTTAAGCAGTGGCAAATGATGCTTCTTACCTCTTCTGCATCCTCTCCGCGTGTGGTTCAGGTGGCGATATGGGCATGGAGATTGACATCGAGAAAGTCGGCCTTGTGCAGAATCTCTGCTTGCAGTCTCGCAGCTGTCTCGTAGCTCCTGTTTCTAAGAACAAGTCTTTGACTGGCTCCAGACTGAACAGGCTCCACTTTGCTTTGTGGGCCTTGTTGTGCATAATTGCTCCTCGGTGCTCTAAGACTCTAAGGAAGATGATCATCTCGAAATGCAACCTGCACGGCAACGTGGCCCCAATGGTTCGGCCATTTCTTGAGCTTGCAGTCCTTTAAGGCTCTAAGAGTCGAGTTGCAGTGGGCATGCTGAAAGTTGTATCGGTGAAAGGCAAGTTCAGCGTCACTGCCACGCAGATGCTGGACTCGATGGAGCGTGCTCCGAGACCAACCCGTGCTGAGGCAACAGACGCGGCTTGGTGTCACTTCTCCAAAAGAATTCCGCGGCAGGGGTTTGGGAAGGATGGCCGCGCATGAGTCCTGTCAGTCGAGTGCAAGCACAGTGCAAGCACAGCGCGTCTCTTAAGCGGATGAGAAAAGTCTCGAGTCTTGGATCCAGATCTCCAACAAATGGAAGACCCTGAATCGCAAAAGGACCTGCCGCTCAGCCATGCTGCCTGGGGCTAACGCAGTCACGCTATCACACCCTTCAAGCTGCGCTTCTGCTGTCCGGGTCTCTGGCCATTTCGCTCCCCGAAGGCTCATGGAAGGCTTTAAATCTCCTCCTCCGCCTTAAAGTGTCTCGGAGTTCTTTCCCTCTGCGTTTCTGTGGCAGCTTGGGCTTTGGCTGTTTGGGCATGGAGTGCATCTGCTCCTCGCTCTTGCTCTTTGGCACTCGCCTTGCCTCTTGATTGTCGATGGTACCACCGCATGGCTGTACTCCAAGGCTAGGTCCACACATCGGCTAAAGCCGGTCGCTACTGAGCACTGAGCCCTTTTAAGGTACGCAGATTGGTCAACCCCCCTTCTGCAGTCGTTTGCACAGGTACTGCTCGGTGAAGGCTCTTTGCTGTAGCAGAGCCCTCCAATTTGTGTTCAAGAAGCGCGAGAAATTTTCTGGATTACAAACTCATGGCCTTCAACTTGGTCCTAGGCCTCCCGCATGTACTGCTGGCTGTGCTGGCTACACTGCCGTCCAAGACGGCTGTCCGCTCAGTATGGTGTTCAGCATGAACTGCCAAAAATCTCCGCACAAGTTGCTAGTTCTGGTGCTTGCATCGTGACCATCGCACTCACTGCATGCTCCAAAACTCCATCCGGCTATGTGGCCTCGCCAATGTCCAGTTGCTGAATTTCGTTGTACTCCTGCTTCTCTCCTGTGCCTTCGATGCGCCGTTGTCTCTCGGTGATTCGTCGCTGCACTCCGATGGCAAAGTATCATAGCTAAGGATCTCGCAAGTCCTGGGAATTACTCGTGCATGCATGCGTTCCCTGGGAACAATCTAGAGGTTCATCAATCGACAGCTAAAAGTCTTCATCCGCCGGTGCTAACTCCCAGTGGCCGAGTGAACAACAAATGGTTGTACGATAGCAAAAGTCGCGCTTCGCACGCCTCCTGGTTCGCTGGCCTCCGGGGTCCTACCCGGCACAGGTTGGATCGGCGCAAGAACTGAACCCTCCAACCCTGCTAGCGCAAGAAACGTCTGGCGGGCGTTTGGTACGGGATTCCAAGGAAGTAACATATTTTGCACGCGACCACAATGTTTGTGGCTCGCACTAGAAAGCTTGTGATCATAGTCCTTGTTCGTCATGGGAAGCACGATCTACTAAACGGGAAGGAGCCAAGTTGCAAAGCCACTTGCTCTCACTTCTCGCGCACAAAGACGTGAAACATCGAAGGTATTGAATGCGATTTTGGACGGCACCGATGTCGTCATGCTGTCCGGTGAGACCGCCAACGGCAAGTTCCCAGAGCAAGCAGTGATGACCATGAGGAGAATCTGCGAGCAGGCAGAATCAGTGATTGACTACAAGGCCTGAAGTCTGAAGCTGTCGCGACCAGTGCGTCGGATGAGAATGCAGCCTTACGCGGAGTGTTTATGCTTGACAGTAGAGGCTCTGTACCTCCGAATCAGAATGGCCGTGTTGGAGTCCGAGCACTCCATGTGCCCAGTGCTTGACCCAGCTGTTGCAACGACATCATGTGGCTTCGTGATGATCATGTGACATTCTGCCATGGAAGAAGATGCAGCCCCTCACATACTTCGTTCCTTGAGGTTGAGTCTGTCTGCTCATCAGCTGTGAAGACTGTTGTGGACTCAGGATGCAGCTCGACCTGGGAACTCTAAGACCGGCTTTGGGGAGGGTTTTGAAGGCAGCTGATTTGCGAGGTTTGGCCCGTCCCACTTGTTGGAGCCAGTATTACATATCAATGTTGCAATGGCTGTGGTTCACTGCCAGCTTGGGATTCCTTAGACTATGATTGAGGCTGCAAAATCAGCCCGCTCCCAGGCAAGCTGATCATCTCCCTCACAGAGACAGGCCACACAGCCCGAGTCATCTCCAAGTACCGACCTTCCGTTCCCATCCTTGCCCTTGCCTCAGTTTCACTCTGAACTCTGATTTGGTACTCGACTCGCGGTCAGTTCTGGAGGAAGTGAAAGCTCAGGCGATCACCGCTAGTGAAACCACCTTGCGCCAGCTTGTGGCTCATCGCGGAGTACCTGGGCCAAGCTTAACTTTCTGGCTTCATAGCCTCTAAACTTTCCACGGTCAGCTGCCTGAAGGGCCTCAAGAACAACTGCCAGACGTTGACTGGCAGGTGGTTCCCATCCTCACAGCCTCCTTCCAGGGCACGGACTCAGTCATCAACAAAGCCCTCGCACGGGCCAAGGCAAGAGCAAGTAGGAACAACTATTGGGTTGCCTTATCGAAGAACTCTCGATGACCAGGAGCTGGGCATGGTGAAGCCCGGAGACACGGTGGTGGCGATCCACGGCCAACGAGAAGAGTGTCCAGGCCAGGAATATCCAGGAATCGGGTGGAGCACGAAGTCCACATCAAGTGCGACTTTGTGTTGTCTTGTGTTAATGCGCTATCTGAGTCATGAAGTTATCTTTACATTGCCATGCCGCCTTTTGGTACCTCCTGCAAGCAGTGGATTCCGTACCCCTGGTGCCTGAGTCGAATGCGTCGTTTGCCCCTTCGGCCTTTTTTTCAAGTGAACACTCCGCAAATACAAGATGGTGTTCTTAGCAGTGCCTTTGACTGCAGATTCGGCCGCTTTGTCTGAACGCTCTGATGGCTCTCATGCACTTACACCTGGCAGGCCAGTCCAACCTCATGAAGGTTGTTGCGCTCTCAGCTTCTGAGTTCTGAGACTCGCCCCCAACCCATTGCGCCCAGTAGATTCGGCTTGTGAGGTGGTGTGCCCTTGAGTCCTTGGAGTGTCTTGACAATGGCGCCATGATTCCCATCAGCGCAGTCTGCGACCGAGCAAGGCTTGGCCAGGTGCAACATGGTGCAACGACAAAGGGATGTGTCATCTGCGATTATGCTTTTGCAAGCATACGATATTAGATCAACGGACCAAACCAGCGCCGGCCCTTGCGCATCGATTAAGACAGACCTTTCTGCCAGACCCGCTTGCCGCGAAAGTTTAGGCCTAGCCTGACTTTCGTCATCTTTTGAAACCAATCTGCGCTACCTCCCATTTTCCGTCTTGTCCCATGCAAAGTGCAACTCCACTGCAGCTAGTGAGCTTGGGCGGCAAATGTTTTGGGACGTGCCATTCACAAGGAGAGTGTAACCTCAGTCTTCGTGGTGCAGCAGCCACTTACCGTAGTCGGTTAGTTAGTTAGTCAGTGATGAAGCATGTCCAGTCACCGTCCATGATGTCGATAGAGTTAAGCACTGGCAAAGACACCGGCGATGGTGACGGGAACTCGAGGAGAAAAGGCGTGCCATAGACTCCATGAAGCATCCTCCCGGCACGAAGTACATACCTTGTCGACCTCTCACCGCACGTGTCGCTGCCGGCATTCCGCAACTTTCCGCAGCCAGTGCGTGCGGACGGCGATCGCCGAGGCTTTTGCATGCCATCTCTTCCCCAAGCCTAGCTTCCTGCTGTTGCTGATGTTTACCAGGTACCACCCCTTTAAACCACCAGCGGGTGAAGGCGAGAGCAGCCAGGGAAGCGCAACCACGACTTTTCTGGGCACCTCACCAGCAGGGGTCATCAAGGGTGGGCGGACGCTATGAAGTTTTGGTACGTGTGGCTTGACCCATTTCTCCTCCAGCACGAATGCTGTCGCAGTTCGTGGTTCAGACAAGGAAGGCAAATCTAGGCAACACAGATGCGAAGCTCCGACAGCAGATGATCGCACTGAATGTGTAGCGACAGTACTGCCACAGCTTGCCATTGTGATAACTTCAGGCATTGTATTGGAATGCATCCCATGTATCTGTCATGCAGCTGAACGCCAGTCTTCACAAGCCGTTTAAATACTGAGCTCATCCTGTGAGCATGTTGCGCTTGGCCAGTCAGCCGTGTCTCGGTGCAGCACCTTGGCTACCAATGAGGCTGCATGATACGCAGCAAGAAAGCGGCAATGAGGGTCTTTTACAGCTACAGCTACCATCGTGACATATCCATTGCACGCATCTCTTGGGAGCCCACAAGTGTCCGCAAGAGTCTAGCTTGAGCCTTGGCACCTTGGCTGTGGCAGTTAGGTTGCACCGGCACAGCCTCGACGCAGCATTCCCCGAAGCGCACCTTCACCTCGCGCAACTCACGAAGGCCTGTGTGAGCTCACAAGTGTCTGGAAATGCGCGCGGGGTCGTGGCGGCGCGTTGCACTGTCACGGCCACTGTAGGAATCTTCTGTTTGGAGATTGCGTTGCCGACATTTGCCGAATGATGTCAAGCAGTGAATTAGCTTGAAATATCGAGACCATGCGGGCCACTACATGTCACCATGTCCAGTGCTCCATAAATTTGCCACTGCCTGAGCAGCTCTCGGAGGCATGTCTGGCACGGCGTGTCTGTCGGTTGCGAGCACGGAGCTTAGGGCCTCTGTGCGTTGAGCTTAATTACGGCATCTGTCGTGCAGCTTGTATTGGGTCAGTCCTCACACGCTGAGTCTCAGGCGCCTTTTTGTACGTGGGGCAGGCAGTGAAGAAGCTGCCAAGAAGTGCCCAGCGAAGAGGTGCGAGACGAGCCCAGCAGAAGCTCGAAGTACAGAATTTTGAAAATCTTCCATACCAATGCCAGCCACTGCCGGTCGGCAATACTCCTGCCAAAGGGAACTTTAGCCTTTTGCCTCCAGTTCTTGTGCGACCTCCTCCAATCGCTTTAGTGGACTGTGGGAGTGGCTCCACACGGGCGCTCTTCTTCCAAGACGATGGCAAGTCGCACGTTTCCTGGGAGAAGTCCTCCTGGAGAGGCCAGGAATCCGGGACAATCGGGGACGGGGAGCATTATGGGGCATCATGTAGCATCATGGAAGTCCTCTATAGAGTCTCTGGAGGTCCTCACATATCAAGTTGCATCGCGCCGGCAGGTGAGGCGCTGGCATCAGCATTGCAGGATGAGCTTCGCCTGGAGAACCTCCTGCGTCTACTTCAGCAGGACAGGGGGAAGGCTTTGAGATGAGCAATGAGAGGGAAGTGCCCGCTAGCATGGACATTTCTGAAGGCTCGTGAGTGCGAGCGGTGCTCACCGTCATCAATGTCAAGCAGTCCTCATGTCAATCTCATGCCAATCCAGCAGAGTAGAAGCGTTCTGCAACGCACTTGACCTGACATGCGTGTCAAGGAGTTGCCAGAGGGTGCGGTTCTGCTTGGCGCAACAGCAGGCGTGCGCGAGGCCGTTCAGGATCGGGCTTCACATGCCAATGAAATACATTATGTTAACATCCTAGGCCTAGCGGCCAAGCGGCACGGAATGGCCCCACCGCCCGAAACCGAAGCCCTAAACCTTGGTAGTTGGGGGGCAGGGGTCACCGTAGTTGGCAGTAGGTAGGGTTTCGCCGTAGTCGGCGGTTGGTAAAGTTTGGCCGGTAGGTAGGGTTTCACCCCAGTCGGTGGGTGCTAGGGTTTCAGAGAGCGGTCGAAAAGAGGTGATGAGGGGGGGTTGAGGGTGGGGAGGGTGCGAAGGGTAGGGAGGGTGGGGGTAGGGTGGGGGGTGGGAGCTTGCACCAGGCTTGCGCCAGGCCTTCGCATTGTGTCAGTCGCGCGCACTTGCGCTGGGTTTTCAGGCTGTCCTGAGCCTACATCCAAATAGCTTCTGGACACTCTTTATGCCGTCAAGAGGCGGGGTTTAGAACAACGCCAATGTCAATGTGGCTTCTTTAAAATACAGGAGGCTCCACCTACCCCCCACCCATCGCAAAGTGGGGCAGGGTTTTTGCTCTGTGGACTGATTGCAGGCTCCACCTGTGCCGTATGTCTTCAATGCGGCAATGTGCTTTTCGGACCGCCCAAGGGCGAAGCGCAAGAGGAGTTTTAAAATAAGGGCAGCGGCAGTCGAAAGGGCAGCGGCAGTCGAATGAGCTGCTGTTGGAGTGAGCGCTGTGGAGGGGGGTTTGGGGAAAGCTGGAGGTCGTGGTACACATAAGGGGCCGCTGGAAAGGGGGATCAGAGCAGGAAGGTTTGAGTTTTAATAAGAACCTCTGATGCTCACGGCGGGGCCGTAGGGACAAGTGGCGTTGCGAATCCGCTGCACTTCAAGGGTGATGGGGGAAGAAACGGGAGGACAAGGGAGAGGGAAGGAGCGCAAAGGAAAGGAGAAAAGAAGCACAAAGGTGGGAAGGACAAAGGCCACCATGGAAAGGACAAGAATGGCAAGAAGGGAGACAAGGAAGAAAAAGGCAACACGCAGGACCTTGGAAAGGGAAGTGGAAACAACCACAACAGCAATGATGGCAAGCGTGACAAGGACAAGCGTGCAAACGTCAAGTGCTACAACTGTGGTGAGCTTGGGCATTTTACGTGAGCTGCTAGAGTTGGGCAGCGAGGCAGCAAGTGAGAATGCAGACCACTTCCCTCACTTCCTTGAAGGACGGCAGTCTCGACGGCAGCAAGCTGCATCGTTTCCAAGACAGGATTCTGGACTGCTTGGGGCCCCGTGCCCAGTTCATGGTGCTGAGTGGGCAAGAAGAGGCTCCTTTGGCAGTTGCATTGAGCACAGAACAGAAGCACCTGTTGCCACCGTTGCACATGACTTCTACAGAGATTTCCTTGTTGATGTCGGTCACCTCCCACAGGCAAGAGCTGAATGGGAAGCGCTTCAACATGCATTGGCATTCACGCCGGGCCTGCGGGCTGACTTCTTCACTGGAATGATGTCTGGAGGTGGCATGTCGTGCCAGCTAGCAGTGCGCCGCGGCTGCTTCTTCCATGGTCTGCAAGAGTTCTACAAGTCACACTGAGAGACCATGTGCACTTGTGTTCACGCAAACCAAATATGTGAGCATGTCACGCCTCAAAGCTCAAGCACTTTCTTTCTTTCAATACGCAGCTCCATGTCAGTGGAACCCAGCGCGGCTATACTAAGTCAATCTAAGTCAGATAAGCCTCGCAACGAGTTGCAGAGCAGGCTGAACCGGCAGCTATAAACTGCAAAGCGATGAATCGGCACGAGTGCCCGAGCATGCAGCATACAAGAGAGATCCAAGAAAGAACCTGTTCCTACAAACCATACCACAGAGCCTCTGTAGAAGCTCAACCGGTATGTGCAAATAGAAGAAAGCTGTACAAAATAGAGACTCCGTGAAATTAAAGATTTGTCGGGTGCGGCTAAACCACAGTCCCATAAACCGAGCATGAAGAAGAGCTGAAAAGCCTTTGCATGAAAACACCATTCACATCGAGCTCGCAGAAAATCATTCCTGCCATGACGGCGGCAGCTAGAGCGTCACGCTGTTGCGTAAAGAGCTGGCATGCAAAGAACAGTTCTGCCGTCCCAAGCAATGACATTCGGGCTTCTGGAGCTGGCACAAAGCTTTGACCGGGTAAAGCTGTCAGAACAGCAGGCATGGACCAGTATGTCTCTAAGAAAGGCTCGGTTTAAACACAGAGGCGCGGCTAAACCACTATCACGTGCATGGAAGAAAGAATACAAAGTTGCGTGCCACCACAATACAATCGAAAGCCCCAGGAAAAGGAAAGTGGGCGCGGCTAAACCACAGCCCGATGGAACAGCAGATTGCAAGTATGTTTCCCAGGCGCTCACCCAGCAACAAGAGGTACTTGAATCAAGTTTGAAGATTGTAACGTGGGTTAACTTGACATCGTGCTTGCAGAAGCCAGTACAGGATTGGACATAATGCCATTCTTTTCGAAGCTGCCTTTTGTCGTATCAACGAGGTCAAGTAGGCGTTACAACCAATCATGGACTCATCTGTTGCACTGCTTGCGGCAGCGATTGCGCCCGGAAAAATTGAAAAAATAAAAAAAACCTTGCGAGATGTTGTAGCAGATTGAGAATACAGTGACTGAGGCAGGGCTCTACCGACGTGGACCTTTACAGCTTCCGCAATGGGGTGCTGGCTCCAGGGGGCATTGCCGAAACGGCAGGTCGGAACTTGCTGTTTGCCAAAGACCTCCCCAGCAAGCTTGCAGAGGCGAGGAGGCTTGCCAAAGAGCAGGTGGAGAAGCTGCCCTTTCAACTCCGGGGTTCGTTTGCTTTGGTTGAGTGGTTGGGCTTGTATGTGGCCGGCGAATCCACTGAAAGGGATCTGCTGATGGGCCTTGGCTACAACCGCTGGCTGCAGCACCAAGAGGTTCTGGAAGCTGTCAACGGCCACTTGCAGGACTTGGAGCATCGGTTCTTGCAGAATGCAGGATCGCAGCCCATTCCCCGACGTGTGGCAATCTCCTGGCTCTACGGCATCATCCTACAGGAGATTCTGCAGCACTGCTTCGAGGCAACTTCTAGCTTCTACTGCCTTAAGGGCATCAACTGGAGCACCGGGCACTACTTGCAACATCGCGAAGTGCTCCAGCAGAGCATCCTGCAGACTAGCTAGGGCAGCTAAACGAGCACTCCTCAAGCCGCTGCACTGAGCTTCCTGGGAATTCATGTGCTTTGCAGTCGCAACAGTATGGTTTGCCCAGGGAGCTGCTTCAAACCTTGGCGGCGAGTAGCTTGCCCTCTTGTATCAGATCGATAACAGCTCGGCTTCTGAACTCAATGTGTAATGTCAACGTTTCTTCAAAATATAGCCTTGGCTTTCCGCAGTCCGCAGAATTCTGGGAGCTCCTATTGTCGGCAGGGCATGTGGTGGAAAGAAAACACATGCCATTTTTTATGCGCGTCTTGAGTCTCCAATCCACGGACACGACTCGAACAAGTCGTTGTGCATCGATCTCGTCGCAGATGCTGATTGATGCTTAATCTGTGGATGCAGGACACCACTGAGGAATTTGGAAATTGTTTGCTTGTGGGCCAACGGTCATAGTTTCGTACTCGAGGGTTCAATATGTGCGCCGCGCAATCTGACTCACAGTCATTTTTCTCAGTCTTGGTCAGAAGGCCCCACGCATGACTGAATGAGCGTGCTGAGTTGTCACTCGAATGTGAAGCAAATCAGAGGCACTGGAGTAGGTGGTTGCTCAGGAGATGACAAGGTCATATCCAGCACTCTGAACTGTTTCGAATTTTCGCGTTGATCCTGTAGATCAAGACAACCATGCACAGCAGCTCAGATGCAGAGCTGGTGCAGAAGCAGCAAATTGAGAAGCACGGCAAGAGTTTTCACACATTTTCGCCCTCCCTGCCTGAGTCAGGGCCCAAAGCTGCCTTGTGGCGGTTGGGGCATTGACTTGCCAAAAGCCTCGGCGGGCTGCTTGTTGACAATTTTCAACTCTGCTTTTGGCGAAGGTGAGATGACACAGCGCCATGTGTCCTTCGCTTTTTCCAGTGATCTTTAAAAATGTGTCGCAATGTGTCGCATGTCACTGGTTGTGTGGTGTAGCACAACATCATCCAAAGCATCGTTTCTACTTGTCCTATCTAGCAGCTCTAGTAGCCTTTGTTCATGCGTGCCGACCGCGGAGCGAAGAACTAACCTATTGGGAGTGCCGCGGCCATTGTGACCAGAATCAATCGGTGGAAAACCTGCCCCCTGCGAGCGACTGCAGCTGGACATGTTCCAACTCAGAGAATCGAGTCTGCAAAACCAAGTAGGCCATCTTTGTCTGGGCAACAAAAACGAAGCGAGCGGTCTTCGGCATTTACGAGGTCTAGACTCGGCCAGGGATGAAGATTCTCAAGCACTTTAAGAACATGTAAGAAGTGTGTTCAGAGTTCACGATTCTATTCGGCATAGTGCGGTGTGTCTGAACCTGTGGTCGGTTCGTAGACCTTTCGATTCAACGGGTCGGCATTTTTCTTTTTTACCCGGTCTTTGCCAGGTTCAGGCTTTCAGGCCGAAATTCGACCTTCAAAAAGCAACACGACTTTGTAAGTCTGCCTTGTAGACTGTGAACTTGCCACCCTTGCAACACGTCTTCGCCTTCCATGCAGTCGAGATCCTTGGCACAGTAAGCAAACTACCAACCACAATGATGCGTTTGCAGCATCAGTATCGGCCGTGTTGGTGATTGGTATGTTGATACCTGTACTGCAGGATTGATGTTGGCTACTTTGCCCACTAGCAGGCTCCATGCTTTGAGTGCGCATGGTGTCTAGGTTCACGCGTCTTGCAGCGGTCTAGACTCTACACAGTGAGCACACCGCAGCATCTTCCAAAACGACCCCTAGCACTAGTAGAACATGCAATGGCTTCCACAACTCTTTCAGACCCTTACATCAGCAACCACCTCATGCAGCATCCCTCCCGAGAAAGCCGGAGCTTGACAAGATGGTGCTGGACTATTCCAAGTGGGACAAGCTGGAATCGTCGGATGACGACGTGCCTCCACAACGGCCACCAACCAAGGTGGAGAAGGCCTGAAAATTGCCTGCACTGAGGTTGGTGCTTCATGCAGCGCAGTTTCTGTCTGCTTCTTGTTGCTTCGGAGGCTCCGGCCAAATCCCCTGCTCCGAAGCGCAAACTGCAGCCTTGGGACTACCACCCTGCAAAGTCACTCCACAAGGACCTTGGCCTGGGCACCCATGACATGATATGACATTCGTTAACCCTTTGACTCTCTGCTTCCAGATTCCATTTCCGTCCCGGCCAGCAGGCGTAGGTATGGCAGGGAAAGTATCCCAGATTTCGCTTGTGCATCACAAAGGCGTGAATCTGTCAGAGGTGCTAGGTCGACTGTGCTCAGGGGCACGTCAACAGCAGCTATCAAGCCCACGGCGATTCATCAACTACTTGCTGCAACTTTTGGGTTGCAAGGACCTGTTCGAGCCGGACAACTGGCAGCAGTGGATTCACCCTTCTCTGCTCGATGTGATCTCTGCCTGGCAGAAGCAGAAGGAAACAGGGAATTCCTCCGACTTCTCCTGTGCCTCACTGCACCAAGCCCAAACAGGGGTTTCCTTTGCAAGAAGGCAGATGACACTTCCGTGGCAAGTCCTCAACCCAGGCTGTGAGGCCCTGATCTAGTTAGCGTGCAACTTTGCGCGTGGAAGTTTGCACTCCCCGTCATTCCCCCCGGCTCTCTGCGACTCTGCGCATCCGCCAAGGTGTTGACCTGGAGAACTTCGATGGGTTTCGGGTTGAAGCTCCAGGAATCTGCAGCTTCCCTGCCCTCAAGGATGAGTTTTGTGACATGCTCTTGGAGGCCACGGGTTCTTGAGAACACTGGCGACCAGATGTGACAAGTGATGTCAACTCGAGAGCACAGGAGGTGAGGAACTACCGTGCAAGTGGACTGCCGTCCCGTGCACCGAACAGCATGAACAACTATGGCTTGGTCTTGAATGAGAGTCCTCGCCTTCTTATGGAGTATTTGTGGTGTGTTGAAGATGGTCTGATGGCTGCATCATGGGCTTACAAAGTGCAGCACGCAGCGTCAGGATTGGCTTGCGAGCCTCCTTTACGTCTGTTTTGAAGGAGGTGCTGCTTCCGATTGGGGCGAGGCAGGTTGTTCCTGTAACATCTGTAGCGCTGCAGTGATTGGAGTAAAGATGGGAGTTGTCATGGGTTGTGCTCAAGCTGAAGTGTGCAGGCTTTTCGGTAGCGACGAAGATCGCGTTGAGTCGGTGGCTGGCATTAACGTGGAAACGGAAGACTGGGGCGGCTCCACGCTGGATGATCATCATAGTTTCATCGTTCAGTATCGTCCAACTGACGACAAGTGCGGCTCTTACTCGTAGAATCTCGTAGAGCTCTCTTAGTGTCTTCTGCTGCCCGGAGCTAGTTACAGCAACATCGCAATGATCTCACCCAACAAAGGCATTTGGACATGCACATAGACGAGTGCGATGTGACCTTCAATTTTGGTATCACTTCGCATGACAATTTCGAGGGCAATGACTTAACTTTCTGCGGAATGTTCGACTCGGCAAGCCATCGCAAGCTGCATCACAGGCAGCTTGGTTGAGACCCTCGGTCCAGCAACATGTGACAGTCATGGCTCGTTTTTTTTCGGTAGTCGGTGGCGGTTCCTAGAACAGGAGCCGTGGCAGCGGACTGAACATTGGGATGCCCGAACTACGCAGCCCACAGTTTCATCCAGGTCTAGGGGGAGTGGGGGGTGGGGCACTGGGTTCATGTTCAATCGCCAAGATCCACAAATCTCGGGTCCTGCAAAGAAATCACCCTCCATTTTGGGTTTCTATGGTGCTGCCAGTGCTCGCTTTGGAGGGGGAGTGAGATACCGCCTCCCCCCCCTGTCAACCCTGATCATGGAAGGTCCGCGGGTAGAAACAACATTCATGCAACAACATTTCCGTTTCACACTTCGCCACTGCAGTAAGTGGCTTAGGTACAAGCACATTCGCGGACGCTGTGTTGTGCATTCTGGGAAACGTCGTCATGGTGCCATGGACATTGAGAAGGATTGCGAAGGGAGTGTGAAGGGCAAGCGGTGGTTCATGTCACCACCACTTCTGCGATTCACTATCATGAGCTGCCTTGTCCGATTACAGGGCGAAAGAGCATCGCTGATAATGTGGACAAAGAGTCGAAGCTTCCGGCGGACAGAGGCATCTGCCATCCGATGCGCCATCCGACCTGAAATTTGAACCCCTCCAGTTGACTTCAAGTCTTGACCTAGAGCATTGGTGGCCACATTGATGGCCATCTACTGTGAGATTGTCTTGAAGCCGTGGCAGGCGTACCGTGAAAGAAATCGAAGAGGGCTGACATATGGAGATGCGGACAACGTCTGCCTCAGCTACACTCATGACCCCGTGACCTGGCTGAGCCTAACTTAAAGCTGCTACCACAAGTCTGCTGCGCAGCTCAGGACTACAAGAAGCTCATGCCTAAAAAGTTCCAGTACCATATGAAGCCTGCTGCTTGCACAGTAGTAGCTGACGGATGAGATGTTCTTGAGTGCCTTCTTGAATGCCTCAGCGCGATCAGGCAGGAAGCACATGATGCTTCTCAGAAGAGTCTGGCGACAGATTCTCGGACCTTGTTGTGGGTTGCCCGACTGACCTCCATTTGCCACCGTTCTTCAATCGTAAGACAGTCTCTGGGAAGAATGCTTACAAGTGCAGTTTCCAAGCTTCGATGAAACTTGCGTGGTCCATCCACGACCTGCTGATTCCAGAAAGATTAAATGATTACATACATCCACAGCATGCAACTAGGAAAAGAACACAATCTCCCCTGATGGTTTGAGTGCTTGTCAAGGAGAAGAGGTGGATTCGCGTGTGTTCAGCCAAAGAACTGCTGGAAGGCGAATCAAAGATGGTCGCCCTGGAGTCAGAGATGCCCAGCTGAATTCTGAGAGAACTGTCTGCTGAAAGTGCCATATTTTTCATAGCAGTAGAATATGCCAATATTGGAATATCTGAACATATTCTGACATGATTGTATTAAGATCTATAGTATTGTATGTTTATATTGATGGTTTTTTATATTCTTATATTAGTATATTTGCATAATAGTATAGCCATATATCATTAGATTGGTATATTCGTATACTACTATATCTCTTTATCACTTTGTCAGTACATTTGTACATTAGTACATCAGTATATTGTTGTGTTAGGAGGATTTTTGTATGACTATATACTATACGATCATCTTGTTATATTATCTTTGTTTAACAATATTCCTGTAATCTTACATTATCATATTGTCATATTGCTATACTGTTATACTGTTGTAGCGTTGTATTGTTATACCGTTGTTTTGTTTTTGTGAGTGTATTAGTATACTATGATACTGATGTATTGTCATTTGATTATGTTATTGTATGAGTATATGATTATCGTGCGATCTGGTTGTATTATTGTGTGATTATAGTATTGCAACATCATATTGTGTTTATGTGATTATACTAATGTGTTATTATATTACTATATCAATATGTTATTATATTGTTGTATCATTATGTTCGTAGGCTTTGTAGATACATTTTTGGTTTTACGTTTTATGTGATTATGTCATTGCCTTTTTTTCATATTCTGTTTTTCTATTTGTATTTCAAAATACACGATTACAGTAGTGTATTATTGGATTCTTGCATCAGTATGCTACTACATTTCACATTTTATATTCTGATAATATTAATTTAAGTATTACGTCATTGTAGTACTGTAATACACTGTTGTTATTTTGATATAGTTGTATACTGATATATTTTTTCAAGCATATTCTGATATGTGTTTTTTGTACTCTTGTATTCTTATATTCTCATAATGTTGGTTTTCATAGTGTTCTACAACCATTCCATTGAATATTGTAGTATCTTATCTCATGACTATACCAATATATTGTTTGCATTACAGTTGCTATAAATGTATATATATATATACATATACATATATGTATATATATGTATATATATATATATATGTATATATATGTATATATATATGTATGTATATATATATATGTATATATATATATGTATATATCTATGTTTATATATATATGTATATATGTATAAATATATACATATAAAGATGTGAATACATATATGAATACCATGTTTTGTTATCTTACTATTTAGAAGTATTTTATAGTATTGGAAAGGCATGTTCTTATATTAGTATATGTCATCAGTCAAGCAACTCCGAAGTTTGGATCAGGACTATGCAACAACCGGTTTTCCATCCTTGCTTAGCACTGGCCTTGAAGAAATGAGCCCTTAAAAACCGAAAGCCTGGAAACCCTAAACTTTAAACCCTTAACCTTGAACTCTTTAAACCTTAAACCTTGAGAACTCTAAGCCCTTGGACTCCTACCTCTTCGAGCCCTAGATTCTTCAAACCCTAAGTTCATGGCTGCACAGCCTGCCGCACGATGCCCTAAGACCCGAAGAAACACGAGAGATGCCCACCTCATAAACCCCTAGTTGTGACCATGCTGTCCGAAGCCGTACTGGGAACGTCCATGTAAAGACCTCAGGAACCCTAGCATTGGAAAACTCAGGAACGAGCAGATTGCAGTTTTCCGGCACAGAGGTGAGCTCTTCGCTTTGGCATCTTGGATGCTTGAATTTGTCCTGTTCTGTGGCTGACCGGTATAATGAGGCAGAGTGGCGAATTGGCACGTTTTGAATGACATTAAAGATTCTGATGTTGACGGCCAAGGACAATCGATGTGCCCACATGGGCGGTTCCTTGTGCGAGGGCGAGATAGAGGATGTTGGCACCCACGGCCTAGGCAAGCACACTTTGTCGACTAGAGATGTGAGGGTTTGAAGGACTGTTTGCACAGGCGCCAGTGACTCCAAAGCTACAGATGGTATGGTAATCTGTCCGCGACACTTCATGCCCTGCTGGCCAGTTTTTGTTTCGCCACTGAGAGATTAGCCATAAACCACGTCACCCTTGCGGTTTTGATTGCCCAAGACCTGAAATGGTTCTTCGCCCTGCCTGGGAGGAATGCCATCCAATCTGAAGCACGTTACTTATTTTGCATCTTGTCATCTAGAGGCCTCAGTGCAGGTCTCAACGCGTTTAGCTGCACACCTCCGGCTGCAATGTACTGCGTGGCGATGAGAGTGATCGTGATAACGGATGCTGCGATGCCGGTGTGGGATAGACCACGTCTGACATGATGGATCAAGCCGCTGGAGTTCAAACACATGCAGATTCATGCGCGCCAGCCAGGTGTTTTAACCTGCGTACCGGTGAGAACGTTGAGGGCGACTCCATGAGTCAGAAGGCCATTCTCAGTTCTTCAACACGCACAATAGGAGCTGAGCGGGGACTGATCTGCCAGAGGTGTATCCTGTCCGTCTCTCGGCAGATGGCACAAACGTGGAGGCCTGGTAGACCGGACTTAAAGCACAAGCACAGAAAAAAATGTCCCAGCTTCAAGCCGACCCTTTAGCTGGGCAGGTGGAGGTGGACATGGAAGTGACTGTCCAGGCAGTTCCTGTGCTCCGCCTGGTTATGAGCTGTCGTGTCAAATTTGGGTTGATGTCAGACATCCCTGGCAGTACAAGGATCTGTCGGCACGTCTCCCAAGACTTCTTCAGATGCTTCGCTGCTGGAGCTTGAACGGCCGCCAGGCCTTCGATATCTTCGATATGATTTTATAACGCTCTTTCATGTCGGCACGATTGAATTTGAGCAGGTTCCAAAGCTTGCAGCTGCTGGATTGGGTGTCTTGGCACAGCTGCTTTGCAGGTGGACGAGTGACTTAGTTGGCTTTGTGTGGACAGGTTGCTTGGTGGTCTTCGTCGCGGCAGCCTTGCGCTTTCGCAGCACGTTTCGAGATGCGAGGACCATTCAAAGGTAAAGAGCGAGAAGTACGCTGGCAAGTTTCAAGGCAGATTTTGCAGCAGTCCAGAGGTGTTGAGTAAGTATTGTTAGGTAGGTGCATAACGTGAAAATTCACGATGATCATGTCGTGTTTTTCAAATACGGGTACATTTGGATAATGAGCTATTGACTATTTCTTTTATGAGAATGTATCATGAAGTGTCGTGATATTTGTTATGTCAACTTGGATCAATTTTGCCAGGTTTTCGAAGAGGTAGTATTTCGCCGTTCCACCTCCACGATGTTTGTGTTTTCCATGGGGTTTGGGAGAGTTTGGGGGTAGCCCGAAAAGTGCGCGTGTAGAACAGTAGGGTCCTACAGAGTAGATTATAGGAAGATACGGAGGTCCCAAAAGCGAGTGCGAATAATTATAGGGAATTTATATTGATATATATAGGACCAATATTGGATCGCACATTCAAAAAAACAATTTGAGGTTTGTATTTTATTGATATATTCAATAATTCTTGTTTTGGGAAAGATAAATGGAAGATAAATTTTGTAAATTCGATTTTGAAGGTTTGATGACTCTCATTTACGATCGATTGATATATTGATAATTTCTGATTGATTTTAGATTTGACGACTATTTTCATATTATAATTTATTTAATGAACTAGAGGGGACCCATCGATTCTATCGACGATATATCCGCCTACTAAGTAGAAATAGATATACACTAAAATTTTGAAGAAGGTCGCACAAACAAAATGTCCAAATATTTTCGGGATCTCTAAAAATATTTGTGAATTTGACGCGTGAGCGTGGTGGGCAAGAATTTATTTCGTAAAAATTTGAATGATTATGATTTAAGATTTATATCTTTTCATCTTTTTTTCATAAATCGAGTATATAAATTTGAATATACAAGAAAATTCCCAAGATATCATCTTCAATAAAATACAAAACTTACAAATTGTTTTATTAGGGGCTCCCTTTTGTTCCCTAATTCTAGATCCGAAATCTTTAGTTCTAAGTATCTCGGTATTCACTTCTTTCTATGAATCCCCTCAGAAAATATCATTGAGATCGTAATTTCTCAAAATATTATGAATTCCCCTCTTCATTTAGATGACATTCTAAATTCTTGCGCCAAATCTAAGGTCGTAGGGTTCCCTTACGTCCCCTTATATCATATTACCATACCGGCAAGTATGTCAACAATAAAATATAATATCGACAGGGGGGGACTTCTGCTCCCAAAAATATCAATTAAGAAAGGAGACCTAATGATAGGAACACGAATTAAATAATATATCCAAAGATTTTATGAAGTTATCGAAATAAATAATCGAAATATTATCATCGCAATATCAATCCCGATTCCAAGTCCCCAAATAACCCCGCACAATACAAAAATCCTCAGCCCTCAACAATCCCGTCACAATCCCTCCCGTCACAATCCCTCCCTTCAATAGCTCCTCCCTTCAACAATCCCTCCCTTCAATATTCCTTCCTTCAATAATCCATCCCTTCAACAATCCCCCCCCAGTCCCTCAACAAGCCCTCTCAACCCCTCCTCAGCTCAAGCCCTCAACAACCCTAGCCCCTCAAATAGCCCCTCAACCACAGACCCCCAATCCCAGCCCCCCAAAACCACCCACCCCCCGCCGCACCCGACAAAACCCAAACCATTACAACAAAAAACTAAACCCAGCCCCTCAGCCGCAGCCCCTCAGCCCCTCAGCGCCCCAAAACCATCCACCCCCCACCACGCCCGACAAAATCCAAACCAGTACAACAAAAAACAAAACCCCCAATACTCGACAAAACTCCGGACACAAACCCTATACAATTTCTATTAAACCCCAAAACCCTAAACCGTAAAATCCTGAAACCCTGAACCCGGGGTCCCGAAAATTTCCGGAATTTTCACAGGGCACCCAAGTCATCGTTGTTGTGTTGGAACCTTAAATTCAATCCGGAAATCCTAAACCTCAATTCGGGTGATTCTGAAAATTCCTAGAATTTTCAGATCCGAGTGATTCCCAAAATTCCTAGATTTTTAGACAATAAGCGTAAAAATTCCGGGAATTTTCCCGATCCCCCTGCAAGGCCCTCACAAGCAGCCAAATTGACCGGAAGAGGAGGCGGGATAACCGACAAGGCGGCCGCAGAGCGAAAATAGGAGTCGAGCCCGTAGCCTTTTATAGGGATATAGTTTTTGGAATGGATGAATCGCATAATATATTTAATAAAATACTTTCACATAGGAAAATTTGGTTATATATTGAAGAATCTATTTGGAGAGAAGACAAATAGAGACAATTCATTAAGCAACTTAAATTTTGGGAAGGTTTGTTGAATGAATAATTCTGGTGATATATTCGAAAAAAATAATTTGTGGGATGGACGATATATTTCTAAATCATGAATATTAGGGATTTGTAATATAGATGATATATATATATATATTAAATAGATTTCGAAATAGATAATTCGGGCGATATAGGCCGCATAATAGATTTTGGGAATAAGTAAATCGGACGTCATATTTAATAAAGTATATTTTGGGTTAGGCAAATCGATCGATACATTTAATAAAATAGATCTTGGAGAAGAATATCGAACGATATATTTAGAAATATGAGTTTTGGGGCAAATAAACCGGACGATACGTTTTGAAAAATATAGTTTTAGGATGACGAGCCATTTAATAAAATAATTTTTTTGGAATAGGAAAGTCGGACGAAAAATTTTAATGAAATAGAATTTTGGGCAATCCGAAACTTATCAACTTGAAATTAGGATGATTTTAGAATTCCCTTCGAAGCCGGGAGGAAAAATGCCTTAGGAATGGTATCCCATAAGATATCATTGATTCTTTCCCAATTCATTCATTCAGAATTTGACCTTGCTTATCCGGTGGAAATTAGGGGAGCGAGGGTCACCTCGGAAAGAAGCCATCCAAATTAAGAAGAAAATTTTTATTTCATAATAGAAAATTATCTCCTCGGACTCCGACACTCCATCGTAAAATCGAACACCTTATTATGCTAGGAAGATCAGGACAAGCCATGTAACGATTGCTCTCCCCTGGATTGGCGTACGACACGTCGGCTGTTCAACCCAAACTTACAATGCCCCGGAGTTGCAGACCCCAACTCTAATGAAAGCCTTGCGCTCTTTCGAGTCGGGTAGAGGACCAGGACCAGATGGATTGCGAGCTGATTTCTTGAAATTTCTTGTCGGGGAGAGTGGTGAGGTAGATTCTTCGTCCAAATTCTGAGGGATTTTGCAAAATTGATGACGGATGGTCGGGCGTCATTGGTACTTCGCCCATGGATAGGGGGAGGAACATTTGATAGGTATAGATAAGCGTGATGGCCAAAGATAAGCCATCCCACTCATTCAAGACGTCAGGCGAATTATCATGGACACTACTTCTTGGCGCAAATTCGTGATCAAGACCACCTTCCTCGTGGATAAGGAAAGCATTCAAGCTCGACTGATCCCTCAACAATTCGCCGTCGGGATTCGGGCCGGGGCCGAGGCCATGGCTCAAGCTGCTAGGATTTGGATTCGATTGAATGGTCACAAACGCGATCATATTCTTCTCCAATATGACATCTCCAATGCCTATATCATTATTCATATTCATATATTCCTCGATGAGTGTTATAAATTAATTTAAATCTCAAGTAAGTTTGACGAGTTCTATTACGGAGCCCCTACCCATCTCGTTTACCACGATCGGTTGATGCAATCGATACGCGGGCAGCAAGGGTGTCTTCTCATGGGCTCCCTCTTCTATTTGGCGAGAAAACGTATATACGAAGAGGTATATCAGAACATACGGGGTCGACCCACATATTTTGATCCCGAATTCGCGGATGATGGCTTCTGCGGAGGCTCTATTTCTTCTGTTTGGGTGGGATTCGAATAGGAATTCGCGCTTGTTGGCAAATACGGACTTCACTTCGATTTAGCTAAGACTACCCTGGTTGGGGACAGTTTCAGTGGCGACTTTCGGCCTTTCGAAGCGTTCGGGTACGTCTCGTCAAAGGTATCGACGTGCAGATACTCCAGGGGTCCATATCAGGCTCGCACGATTTCTTTTCCGAATGGATTCATCGCAAAATTGTCGAAGTCGATGAGGCAATCGGAATTGTCGAACAGCTACCACACAAGCATATAACTCTCCATTTCTTGTAACGCTGTTTGAGCTTTCCCAAATTGCTGTATTGCGCCCGAGCTGTTGGTAGCACCCACCTCCAACCTCTCTTGCTTGCACATAAGGCTACTCTTTCAACCCAAGTTGGGGATTTGGGATTATTCATTGATGATATTCCGGGGCAGAATGGGAGGATCTCTCGGGAGGACATTACTATGGTATACTCTTGCAGGTCACTTGGGAACAGATTCGATCGTTGCTTGGCCCTGCGATTGACACGGATGTCGATCCTGATCGGACGTTGAATCTCCGAACATTGAATCCTCATTTCCCTCATTTAGGATTAGATAAACAATATACTATCCTCAACCATCGCGATTTGATGCAGGCAGCTTAAGCGCGCACCTTCTTGCGGGCAGTGGTCCAGGCGAAGCTGCTAGGCTGCTGTCCTGCAAAGCCAAGTGGGCCGATGGATGACTTGGGGTTATTCTTAGCATTTATTCAGATATTCTTTTATTCCCCAACAGCGGGCACGCTTGGGGTTTGCAATCTGGTAAGGGAGAAGGTCGGTGACTAGATTTTGTGCATGGCTTCGCGGAAAGATAAGGGACGTGTGCGCGCGCCAAATTACTGTAACTTTTTGCGCCTGGGCAATTCAAAATTCAAAAGTCGTCTTCGGGAGTCCACCGAGGAAGGAAAACAGCGCCAGGCAGTTTGAGCGCACTAACATGCCTGTGCAAGCAGAACGAGATCCATGTGTGCTGCCGAAAAAACAGATATGTGCATGTGCGTTCGCAGCACACGGCACGCACTAACATGTCTGTGCAAGCAGAATGAGATCCATGTGGGCTGGCCGTATATATATGTGTATGCACGAAGCAAATGTGGTTCCTATAGTTTTTGGCCCTTGCTTTTGCAACCGCTTTCTTGCCGTAAGGATGTGCCTACCCAACAGCTGCTGTCTGTGTGGTCGTATACCACGCAGCTATTTAGCGCAAGAACAGATCCGTGCGAACCGAGAGACACCCATGTGTGCCCGCGCAGCAGCAGTTGAGTCACAATACCGCGACGGACAGCCGAGATTGTCTCGCCGGCGGAATCTTTGCATGCTACAAGATATGTGTGTATGCGCGTGAAGCAAGTTTTGGTTCCTATAGTTTTTAGCCCTTGCTTTTGCAACCGCTTTCTTGCCGCAAAAATATGCCTACCCAACACCTGATGTCTGTGTGGTCGTGTAAGACGCGGCTGCTTAGCGCAAGAACAGATCCGTGCGAACGGCGATGCCCGTGCAACAGCATTCGTACACGATCTGTCGCGAACCTTTCCGTGTGTCGCGCCGGAGTGCGTCGCGCCGGACGCAGCACGCGGCACGGAGAGTGTGTATGCGCGCGTAGCAAGTTTTGGTTCCTATAGTTCCCCAACAGCGAGTACGCTTGGGGTTTGTAATCTGGTGAGCCCAAGCCCTGCTCCCTCAGATTTTTGGAAGTTATTGGGGCAATTAAACTTTGCACTACACACTGTACCTGAGGTAATACACATTGTATTTCAGTAATCGCCCCCCCCCCCCCTCCCCCACGAAACAAAACCAAACTCTGTACCAGGGTTTATACTTATCTGGCCCCACAATATTGAAATATGGGAAAACTCAGTATTTCAATATTGGGCTGGATCCAAGATCCAAGATCCAATATTCTGCAGAAAGTGTTTCAAGGTGATGCAAAAAAGCCCCTGCTCTGGTCAAGTGGGAGTTTAGGGAGGTGGGGAGGTTTGCAAACATACAGATATTCAGGTCCTCTGGAAAGAAGAGAGGACGAGGGAAAAGAAGAACCGATTACGACAAGAAGACAAGAAGAATGTTCTAGTTTAGGCTGTAGGGTTGATGGTCTAAATAACTACATATATTATGTGAATTCTAAAAATAAGTATAAATATACTTACATATATATATATATATATATCTAAAATATAAACGCCTGTTGCCTCTAACATACAAGCTTATTGTGTTAAAAATCACGCTTGTTAAACCATCAGGCCCTTACGCTAACCACTTGTTACGTTCACAAAAGTCTCTTGTAAGCGCTTAAAGCTGATATAAGCGTCTATTGAAGGGTCAAGGCATAGCAAGACAACGGTTGCAAAAGCAAAGGCTAAACGCAATAGCAATATAGGAACCAAAACTTCCTGCGCGCGTGCACACACAGATACTTTATTACACGCAAAGATTCCGCCGGTGAGACAACCTCGGCTGTCCGTCGTGGTCTTGCGACTCAACTGCTGCATTTCTGCGTGCGCGCGTGGATCTCATTCAGTTCGCACAGCCATCCTGTATATATTCGTATCAACACGCTGCTGCATTCGCGCTGTCGTTACGCCTGGCGCGCGCGTTCAACTTGCCTGGCGTTGTAGCGGGAGAGCCGGTGTGTCATCGAAAGATCCTCGCAAGAAAGTGGTTGCAAAAGCAAAAGCTAAAGGTCAATAGGAGCCAAAACTTGTTGCGATTTGTCATTTTGGAAGACAGCTTGCCCCAAAACTCTTGGGGGTTTAGGGCGTGGCTTGGGCAATAGGGTTTGGGTCGGGACCGAGGCTGGGGGCTTGGGCTTCAAGGTTACAGGGGTTGAGGTTTGGGGTTGAGGGATATATACAGTTTTGACTAGGGTTGGTTGTTTTTTTGTTGAAGGTTCAGGGACTTAGGGTTGCGGTCTCTTGGGCTTACGGATGGAGATGCAGTGTTCAACGGTGGTTTGGGGTTTAGGGTCTAAAGTGGGGTTATTGCTTCGGATTGATGATTAAACCCCAAGCAACAAACCATAAACCTCAAACGCCAGACCCTAATTGAACCTTTCTTATTTGTATCAAAGAAACAATACTTAGGGGTCATGGTGAAGTTTTGGGGTCTTGGGACTGTGGGTGTTTAGGGTCTGCGTCTTTGGGTGGTTTGGGGTGGAGCTTGGGTTGGGGGGGTTTGCGGTTTGGGATTCCTGCTTTGAGTTTGTTTTTGTTGTGGGGGAGGGGGATGTTTGGGTTGTATAGGGCGGGGGGTTGGCGGGGCGGCACAGCTTTTTCCCCTTTTTTTTTGGGGGGGGGCTTGGGGGCGTTACGGGTTCAGAATTTCGGGTGCTCAGGATTCATGATTTCGGGGTTGAGGGTCTGTCTGGGTTTCAGGAGCACGGTTCGGAGCCGAGATGTTTTGTAGGGGAGTTAACTCGAGTTGACTCGGGTTGGCTCTGGGAGTTAAAAGGGAAAAAAGAGGTTGTGGGGAGTTAACTCGAGTTGACTCGGATTGGCTCTGGGAGTTAAAAGGGAAAAAAGAGGTTGTGGGGAGTTAACTCGAGTTGACTCGGGTTGGCTCTGAGAGTTAGCTCGAGCTAACTCGGGCTGGGTCTGACAGTTAACTCGAGTTAACTCGGGTTGGCTCTGAAACTGAACTCGAGTTAAATCGGTTTAACTGCCCTGCCCTAAAACCCTCAGCCGTAAATCCAGAACCCTGGACTCGGAACCCTAGACTGAATCCCTAAACATGAGCGCCTAAACATCACCTTGAACCCGAAACCCTAAAGTCTGAACCTAAGACCCCTGTATATAATAAGCCCTTTCATCGACATAGTCGATCCAAAACTTCAATTCCACATACAAGTGATTAAATACATGAACCAAAATCAAAAACTCACAATAGATACACACACACACACATATATATATATACATATAAACGCATATACCTTAAATATTACAACAGAGGCTGCGGGAGCCTGTTTGTTAGAATGAGTTTGTTGCGTTGTTTGCTTTCTCGTTTTTTGTTGGATCGTAAATAGACAAGACCGCTTTCCAAAAGAATGTGGACTCTTGGTCCCTGGTTGTTGCCGCCCCGCTTCCCCCAATATTGACATATTGAAGCCCTTTCAATATTGGGCTGGATTCAAGGCCCGACGTCCAAGGATTTCGCAAAACAATCTTGGATCCAGCCAGGACACTCCCCCCAGTATTGAAGTATTGAAACTCTTTCAACATTCCAAGGCTGGGCCCAGCCTGCGCCCTGGATCCAAGATGGCCTTCAAAAAACAACTGTGAAATCTTGGATCTTGGATCCAGCCCAATATTGAAATATTGAGTTTTTACAATGTTTCATTATTGAGCCCAACCTGCGCCGTGGAACCAGATTAGTAAACAACAACTAAGGAGCTGTAAGTGAGTGTTCATTAAATGACGTATTCCCACAGCGTTCCACTTCAAACAGTATATATATACACATATCTTCATATTGTGTGTGTGTTTTAATTGGATATTTGCATAGCTATGCAGGCTTTAGTGCAGAGTTTAGGTTTTGCTTATTGGGGGATGACAACTGAAATGCAACGCGTTAGCTAAGGTACAGTGTTTAGTACAGAGTTCAGGCTTTGCTTTTTTGGGGGGAAATACAATGTGCTGGCTAAGGTACAGTGTTGGTACAGAGTTTAAATTTGCTTCTTGGGATGATTACTGAAATTGCAAAGTGTTAGCTAAGGTACAGTGCAGTGCAAAGTTTTGGTTGTGCTTATTGGGGGGTGATTGCTCGAGGTACAGTTATCAGCGCAGAGTCAGGCTTGGTTTGTTTATCGGAGGATGAGAACTGAAAAGCAATGTGTTAGCTAAGGTACAGTGTTTAGTTCAGAGTTCAAGTTAAGCTGCTTGCCTATCAGGGGAAGGTGGGGGGGGGGGAGGGTTGATTATAGCTATTCAATATGTGTTAGTTTAAAAGAGTTTATTGCTTGAGGTAAAATTCTTAGTACAAAGCTTAGGTTTTGCTTATTGGGGGATGTTTACGGAAATACAGCCGGTGTTTTCACAGCTTCGAGCACAACATCCCGAACACAAGCCGAAGAGACATAGCACAGAAGAAGAGCAAGGTGGAAGGTCCCAGAAAGAGTGAAAGGATATCTGCTCACCTGTGAGAAGTTGTTGTGCGCTGCTTCTTTGGGTTGGCTTTCTTACTCTGCTCGGAAGCCATGCCAGACTACGGCCACAATCTTTAAAACAACTTGAGCCAGTACGCGCATGGAAAGCCTGCATGCACGGAAAGACAGCATTCATGCTGAACCTGTTGCACAAATAATTGGCAGTGTCGGGCCCTTCCTCACTCCCTGCATCCCTGTATCAAGGAGCAACAAAAAGATTTACTTCCTTCCATTTGCCCCACAATAAAAAAGAATAAGCATTTATATTATAGACAATAAGCGTTTATATTTTACACAATAAGCATTTATGTTAAAGCCATTTTAAAAGAGAACACTTTCATCGGAATAGACGCTAATTTTTAAGAGACTATTGGAAGATCAAGGTGACCTTTCGACGACATACCGGCTCTCCCGTTTCAACGCCAGGCAATTTGAACGCGCGCGCGTGGCTTAGCGACAACTCGAATGCAGCAACATCTTGATATGAATATCTACACGATAATTTGTGCGAACAGAATGAAATCCACGTGTGCACGCAGAAAACGTAGCAGTTGTGTCACAAGATCGCGACGGACAGCCGAGGTTGTATCGCCGGCGGAATCTTTGCGCGCAAAAAGATATCTGCATGTGCGCACGCAACATGTTTTGGCTCCTATAGCCCTTGCTTTTGCCACCGCTTTCTTGCCGTAAAGATGTGCCTATCCAACACCTGGACATTGCTTCAATCTTGCGAGGTTTCCTTTTCGATTCCGTTTGCAAAAACGGCTACACGCCGGCTGATGATATCCCACGCTGTTGGGGTCTGTTGCTGCTGAGATAATCCAACGTTGCAGTCAGTGATTGTATTTCTCTATGATTTGGATTTGATATTCTGGATAATGATGACGGATATCCCTTCTGTATACAAGCTCTCGATATTTTGGACCGCCATAGCATGACTTATTCGTCAGGAGATTGTCGGACTCGTATATATTATACCTTATGTGATACGATTTTCAAGGATGCACGAGAAATGGGAACACGGCCCAAATTCGAGTTTGGGGGGTCTTTTGCCAAATGCCGAGGGACGCCGCCCGGCGGATGCCTTATTGTTGTCATCCCCCCTTTTGAAGCAGAACGAGTGACACAGATTCTCCCAGATAGCATTGGATTTCGCGTTGGTGTCTCCGAAAAACGGCGGTGGCGATAGGGCGACAATCCCCGAATCCGGCTAGTGTTATGGTTGCGTATGCAGAACCCAAACGATAAGATAAGGGAATTTTGCAGGC